CTGTTACAAAGTAAACGCTTAAAAGCAGCAAGAAGGTCAAAAATTATAAAAACGTCTATGTAAACAAAATTTTAACTTACAACGCTACCTCGTAATTAATTAATTACGTAATTAATTAAGTAATTAACACAAGAATCTTCAAAGCGGTCTTAGTAACTTTAGGGAAATGACAATACGTTTTATCCAAGTTTTATTTCAGTATATACAATTTATGATGAACTGACAAAGTTCCTTTTATTTTAGTGCTAGAATTTTGTTTATTGACAAAATATCAGTTGACAGGGCACTTTGCGGCTGAATGTTTGTATGCAAGCGCTCCAGTTACGTATCGATAAACAAATTTTGTCTGTCTAGGCTTGCCGTGATATTTTTCCCCGTTATCAGAAGCATATCTGATATTAAGGATCACTGCACCTGCAAGCCGACGCATCATCGAAAAAGTTCCTTTTCAGGATCTCCTCTGTGTGAAGCCGTAACCCTTTCAAAATCCTACCCGGCAATAGCACGTGAACAATTTTTAACTGGTTGGAGAAGACTTCTGCATTGTTGAAGTAATTTTCTGGGAAATACGCTTGCTGAAGCAAGCAGTTATATTGAAATAACAAAAAACTGTTTTGATATGAAAGGGTTTTTTCCCCAGGGTCAAACTTGCCAATACTACTTGGGAGGGAAACGGTGATCTTCCCGCTCTCTGGTTTCGGCTATTTGTAAACCAAGGTGAAAATATTTGCGTCTACAGCGAGCTTAAGATGATAAGGGAATTTACCTCTGCTTTCGCTCTGGCCTCGTGATGGTCATGGTTGAAAATTCCATCTGTAACACTTACGAGAAAGAGACATCTGATTGAGCATGAATTGGAGGGAACTTTTGGGGTTATTTTCACTCTGAGAAATACAGAACCTGGATTCCCCTTTGCTGTGATTTTGTTTTCTAACAAAAGGATTTTCCCCAATAACACGATACTACGGTGGATATTTCATTCATTCTGATGGAGAACTTACGCACGAAATGTCAGCACCTTTAAAAAATCTTTACGATGGCCAATTTACTGTATCAGCTCTGTTGATTAAAACAAATTATCTTGGACGCAGCACCACAGTTTCTTTAGAAACTAACCTCTTTATCACAGTTTCTTTAGAAACTAACTCTCTTTATCACAGTTTCAGTTTTGTCAAACAAACTTATCCAGGCATTTTTAGAAACTGAAATATGACAAACTGAACGAGTATTTCATTCTGAGATCAAAGTCTTAGACAAGTGATTTTTCAGTCCCGTTGGTAACATATCTAACGATATACAACTCAAGAGACAATTTATGTGTATTGGCTAAGGAAATTGAATTGTTTGAAACATTTTTTCCATGAAACGTTATCACTAAAGCGGGTGAGTGTGGTCATATTGAAATGTAAACCGTACAATATTTTGAAAGTGGGATGATGCAAGGGAATTTGCCCTCAACTGTAATTGTTACGTGATAGTTTGGATCCACGTATAAATAGCCTAACGCAGTCATTGCACCAATCTATTGAATAACAAACCTGCAGGCTGCTTGGCGAAGAGGTTTACAGTTATTTCTCAGTACTGAGCTAAATATGGCTTATCTAAAGATGATTTTTGGATCACTGGCATTTGCCGTAATAGGTGACATGATCGCAATGAAGTATTACCCACAGAATGGCTCCGCACTCGCCTGGAGCCTCGCCCAAGCTAAAGGAAGTTTGTCCAAGCTCCGCAACACCACCCATAGATTCGCAGAAGTGTTCTGCAATAAGCCAGACGAATGCAAAGTTGCCATAGACCAGTTTTTTGAGGTAGTTTCTGACATTCCTCACGACCTTGTGGAGGCATTTGTAAAGTTCTTAGAAAAGTACTCTGACGGACAGGAAAGCGACCACGCTCAAGATGGTGGTACTGTGCAGAAGAACCTTGATTTCGCTAAAAAAGGTGCTGTTGATTTTACTAAAGAGACGACAGAAGTGAAAGAAAACGTAGCGAAAGCAGAGAGCATAATTAACTCATTGACGTTTTCGAGTTACGATGAGAATAACCTGTGTGACCTCAAAGAGGGCATTCCTGACAATGAATACGATGCGACTGTCGACGAAATTGCTGATCTGACCGGCATGCCGGGAAAACTTATGAAGACAATCAAGCGAGCTAGAAATTTTACCGGTGGAAATATCCTTGCCGTTAATAAGCTGGGGTTCAAGGCCGACGATGGTAGCCTAGTCTTTGGTCGAGTAGCCGTCATCCGTCGAGGGAAAGTTCTAGACATGGCATACTCACTACACTCGGTGGAATATGAGCTCATCTCAAAACAAGACAACGCAGAAAATTTAAAGCAATTCTCGGAAAGCCTTGACAACGAGAATCATGAAGAAGCGAAAGGAAACCCCAAGAAGGGAATTTCCATGGACCTGAGGAGCGACTTCATGGCGTTCTTCCATAAGCAGGCCATCGACGGATTTGTGAAGCATTGCGATTATGTTTTGAAAACCATGAACCACGGAGAAGACGTGGTACGTGCCCTTGGTGTCGACAAGAATGGCGGTACTACCAGAGAGGAAAAGAAAAACGAATGATTTCCAAAGACTTTTTACGGCCGTGGAAAAGACGCTCGAATGAAGGGCAAGGAAGACGGAAATTACATCACAACAGCGAACTTTTCCGACATGTTTTGTCCTTTAGCATTTAGAACTGAAATAGGTATTAACATATTATATCCTGCCATTAATCTTTTTCATTAGTCAGGTACGAAAATTTTGTCAGTACTTGCTTAGGAAAGCTTGAAGTCATTAGAACATATTTTGGTTTTGTGTCTATCTCAACATGTCATATAGAAGTCTAAGACATGCCTAAGGTAGAGTTTGTGTAATAAAATATCATCATTTTTATGGAGTTATGTGCATTTCGCCGTATTTTGCAATTGGAGAAATTTTGAAGAACTTCAACCTCTGGCCCGAAATAGCACAATTTCACCTGTCTAAGCTTGTTGCGATATTTCTACCGTCATTAGATGTTTATCCTAATGATCAATAGAGCTGCAAGCTGACGCATCATTCAAAATTTTCTTTTCAGCATTTTTTTTTTTTTTACTGAACGATAAATAAAACTCTCCGATGTGATCCCGTAGCACTTTCAAATTCCTTCCAGACAACTGCGTGTGAACAATTTTTAGTTGGTTTGCGAAGAGTCCTGCATTGTTTAAAGTTATTTTCCTTAGAAATACTCCTGCTGTGGCAATCGAGTACCGTGGATTTCTCGGAATTCTTTTGTTATATACTATAATTTCTTTCTGATTGTTGTTAGAGTAAAATTCTTATATGATTTAGTAGATAGCGTGGTCAGGCCCATTTTGAGAAATCGGGCTCGCGCCGCCATCTACTATACTACTCACGCCTAACGCAGTCATTGCACCAATCTATTGAATATCTAAACCTGCAGGCTACTTTGCGAAGAGCTTTACAGTTATTTCTCAGTACTGAGCTAAATATGGCTTATTTAAAGATGATTTTTGGATCACTGGCACTTGCCGTAATAGGTGACATGATCGCAATGAAGTATAACCCACAGAATGGTTCCGCATTCGTCTGGAGCCTCGCCCAAGCTAAAGGAAGCTTTTCCAGGCTCCGCAACACCACTCATAGATTCGCAGAAATGTTCTGCAATAAGCCAGACGAATGCAAAGATGCCATAGACCAGTTTTTTGAGGTAGTTTCTGATATTCCTCACGAACTTATGGAGGCATTTGTAAAGTTCTTAGAAAAGTACTCTAACGGACAGGAAAGCGACCGCGCTCAAGATGGTGGTACTGTGCAGAAGAACCCAGATGTAGCTAAAAAAGGTGCTGTTGATTTTACTAAAGAGACGACAGAAGTGAAAGAAAACGTAGCGAAAGCAGAGAGCATAATTAACTCATTGACGTTTGCGAGTTACGATGAGAATAACCTGTGTGACCTCAAAGAGGGCATTCCTGAAAATGAATACGATGTGACTGTCGACGAAATTGCTGATTTTACCGGCATGCCGGAAAAACTTAAGAAGACAATCAAGCGAGCGAGAGATTTTACCGGTGGAAATATTCTCGCCGTCAATAAGGTGGGGTTCAAGGCCGACGATGGTAGCCTAGTCTTTGGTCGAGTAGCCGTCATCCGTCGAGGGAAAGTTCTAGACATGGCATACTCACTTCACTCGGTGGAATATGAGCTCATCTCAAAACAAGACAACGCAGAAAATTTAAAGCAATTCTCGGAAAGCCTTGACAACGAGAATGATGATGAAGCGAAAGGAAACCCCAAGAAGGGAATTTCCATGGACCTGAGGAGCGACTTCATGGCGTTCTTCCATAAGCAGGCCATCGACGGATTTGTGAAGCATTGCGATTATGTTTTGAAAACCATGAACCACGGAGAAGACGTGGTACGTGCCCTTGGTGTCGACAAGAATGGCGGGACTACCGGAGAGGAAAAGAAAAACGAATGATTTCTAAAGACTATTTACGGCCGTGGAAAAGACGCTCGAATGAAAGGCAAGAAAGACGGAAATTACACCACAACAACGAACTTTTTCGACATGTTTTGTCCTTTAGCATTTAGAACTGAAATAGGTATTAACATATTATATCCTGCCATTAATCCTTTTTATTAGTCAGGTACGAAAATTTTGTCAGTACTTGCTTAGGAAAGCTTGAAGTCATTAAAACATACTTTGGTTTTGTGTCTATCTCAACGTGTCATATTGAAGTCTAAGACATGCCTAAGGTAGAGTTTATGTGATAAAATATCATCATTTTTATGGAGTTATGTGCATTTCGCCGTATTTTGCAATTGGAGAAATTTTGAAGAACTTCAACCTCTGGCCCGAAATAGCACAATTTCACCTGTCTAAGCTTGTTGCGATATTTCTACCGTCGTCAGATGTTTATCCTAATGATCACTAGAGCTGCAAGCTGACGCATCATTCAAAATTTTCTTTTCAGCATTTTTTTTTTACTGAACGATAAATAAAACTCTCCGATGTGATCCCCTAGCACTTTCAAATTCCTTCCAGACAACTGCGTGTGAACAATTTTTAGTTGGTTTGCGAAGAGTCCTGCATTGTTTAAAATTATTTTTCTTAGAAATACTCCTGCTGTGGCAATCGAGTACTGTAGTAATCGAATACTGTTATATTGAAAACAAAACAAAAAGCTGTTTTGAAATGAAAGGGTTTTTTCCCCAGGGTCAAAACATCCCAATGCTACTTGAGAGGCAAACGGTGAGCTTTATGCTCTCTATTTATCGCTATTTGTAAACTAAGGTAAAAAGGACTGCATTTACTGTTAAAATGAACTGACAAGAATTTTTTTTGTCTTCTACTTTGCCATAAGGCAGAGCTTTGTGTCATAAAATCTCAATATAATTATGCAGTTATGTCTTTCGCAGTATTTTGCGATTTTAGTTATTTTGAAGAAGTTCAACCTCTGGCCCAAAATAGGAGAGGTTCATGTATAAAACAAGACTTCTTAAATTCAAAACATATTGTAGCGTATAAATATTTTGAAGGCATGGTTTTCTTGCTGAATCATATCTTTAAAATGTGTATTACAGTTGTACGTTTTTATAACCTTTACACTCGTAAATGATGAACCAATAAAACGAGGGTTCAAACTCAAACGTCTTGAAATTCATTGATATTTTGAAGGCGCATTTTTCTTACAAAATCATTGCTATAAAACGTATTTTACACTTGTTCAGTTGGTTTTGTCCTACAGAGTGTTTTTTTTCCAATCGTATTTTACACATCTGACAATTTCCACAGAACGAATGTTTCTCTTACAACTCCTCCGTTAGACCGTCTCCAGAACTGATGCAATCTCCCTCATTTGACTGGCAAATTTCTGGCAGGAAAAAAGAGACAGAAGAATTGTTGCTTGTTTATAAGTTAGACAACTGTTTTTAGAAAAACCGTCCGTGATACGATTGATACCAAAATTGCTGTAGGAGTTGCACACATCGTATTTTCATCAAGTTAAGCACAGGCAAGAAGACATTTGAGACTTCTCACTTTTGCAGACACTCACCTTAAATTCGCCAATGGTCATTTCAAAGGACTTTGAAGTGATTGCCCCAGAGGGATCTGTCACTGTTACCAAAGCTGTGATGTAGGGAGAATTCAGACTGCGACAAGAGCTAGAACTCACTCCAACAGAAAGTTTCCATTTCATGTCAAGTAACTAGAGAGATCAATTATATTGTATCATTAATTACATTCAACATTAAGAGAACAAAAAAAAAGCAAACGCTTAGTATCTTATGCATATTGGTTGAATCAATAATTGCATATAACGTTCAGAGTCTCAAGAAACCCAACAATTGGCATTCTGTGACACCAAACAGTTATCTTTTTCATCACTAAAGTAATGTTTCAGCACTATCATTAATTGTGTCAAAAGGAAATTGTGAGCATTAGGTTTCAAAAAAGGAAAGAGGCATTGCCAGGTTTTGATGAGAAGACATGCAACTTCCTGAACAAATATTTCCTACGTTTCTGACCTTATTTCCCCCTTCCCTCTATGGCACCCAAACTAAAAATCACTGATTACACCTTGAACCTAAAATTACTGTCAGTAGCATTCTTGGAAAGAAAGAAATTGAGCAGTCCTGGTATTGTACTGTGCCGACCTCTCAAAATAGCTTTCAAGTGCATTTATCTAAATCAATTATTTTGACGCCATTTTTCAATACCTGCCCAACATTCAGGGTTTGTGTTAAGTCTGAGCTGCTTAAAATCTTTCCCTGAAAGAGAGATTGCAGACAGGAGTTTGAACACATGTAAACTGTGATATAAAATTAAAAACAAACTCAAATTAATCATTATTTTCAATTTCCAGACTCAAGATTACAAAATCATTTAGCTGTAATGGAAAAGCAGTTGCCAAGGGTAATAGATAATGTTAAAGAAATGTTTTGGCCAAAATACTTTATCTAAATTCAGCAACCTTAGAAAGATCTCAACTGGCAACAAAACACTTATTGCATTTCAGAAGAAACTAATGACGTCTTCCAGTTTTTACGACAGTTCACCTTGAACTTTACATTACTGACAATAATATTCTTACCTTAACGTGACTAACTGACTCAAAAACAAACACTTACAAAAGTCTGCACAAACTTTAAAACAATCCAAAAATAGTAATATTCCACTGAACTAGATAACTAAAGAGAGACTCGGAGAAAATTAAAAAAAGCAGCACATTACCTGTTCATTCCAAATGTGTTTAAGAACTGAAAGAGTATTCTCCTTCCAGCATAAAGATGAATTCAGTTCTGCAATTAGTTTCTCAGAAGGAAACTCGGCCTTAGCAGCAGACCTGTTGAAAAATAATAACAGATTGAATATTACCTGCAATTTATACAGTGGTAAATTATGGGGGACTCAACTGCCTAACAGTTAGTGCACTGACTACAGGATGACAAGTCCTGGTTCAAGCCTTGAACAGGTCACAGAGTTTCCATACCCAGAGGCTCTCGCTCCGTATCAACCTCTAGCGATGAAATTAAGTGTGTTAAGCTTGGTAAATGTTATCAAAGAAATAAATAAATGAATCAATTGAAAGGACGGACGAAAAAATCTTCGGAGCGAAGAGGAGGTACGGTCGACTGTCTTGCTTGTGCTTCGAGCGCCCTCGTCCATTCTCTCGAAAGAAAAATGTTCCTCGATAACTTCAGACCAAAAGCTGCAAAAAAAAAAAAAAAAAATTGAGTCGTATTCTTCCGCAAGAACACACATTAAATTTCAGTTTGAATTATTATGGATGAAGTTTTGGTACTTGAAATATCTTGGATGAGTGACCACTCAAGGACGTCTTGGATTTCTCGAGTTCTATTTTTATATATTATAATTTCTTCCTGATTGTTATTAGAGTTAAATTCCTGTTAGAGTAATTTTTCACCCTTGTATGGAATCAGGCCTGGTATGGAATATAGATAGTAGATGGCGTGTTCGGGCGCTGCCATCTACGATACTACTTACGTCTGAATAGCCTAAAGTAGCCATGGCGCAAATCTAGTGAATAACAACCCTGCAGGCTACCGGAAGAGGTTTACAGTTATTTCTCAGTATTGAGCTAAATATGGCCTATTTAAAGATGATTTTTGGATCACTGGCACTTGCCGTAATAAGTGACATGATCGCAATGAAGTATTACCCTCAGAATGGCTCCGCACTCGCCTGGAGCCTCGCTCAAATTAATGGAAGTTTGTTCAAGCTCCGTAACACCACCCATAGATTCGCAGAAGTGTTCTGCAATGAGCCAGACGAATGTAAAGTTGCCATAGACCAGTTTTTCGAGGTAGTTTCTGACATTCCCTACGACCTTGTGGAGGCAATTGTGAAGTTCTTAGAAAAGCACTCAAACGGACAGGAAAGCGACTGTACTCCAGATTGTGGTACTGTGCAGAAGAACCTTGATTTCGCTAAAAAAGGTGCTGTTGATTTTACTAAAGAGACGGCAGAAGTGAAAGGAAACGTAGCGAAAGCAGAAAACATAATTAACTCATTGAAGTTTGCGAGTTACGTTGAGAATAACCTGTGTGACCTCAAAGAGGGCATTCCTGACCATGAATACGATACGACTGTTGACGAAATTGCTGATTTGACCGGCATGCCAGAAAAACTCAAAAAGATAATCAAGCGAGCGAGAAATTTGACCGGTGGAAATATTCTCGCCGTCAATAAGCTGGGGTTCAAGGCCGACGATGGTAGCCTAGTCTTTGGTCGAGTAGCCGTCATCCGTCGAGGGAAAGTTCTAGACATGGCATACTCACTTCACTCGGTGGAATATGAGCTCATCTCAAAACATGACAACGCAGAAAATTTCCAGCAATTCTCGGAAAGCCTTAACAACGAGAATGATGACGAAGCGAAAGGAAACTCCAAGAAGGGAATTTCCATGGAGCTGAGAAACGACTTCACGGCGTTCTTCCATAAGCAGGCCATCGACGGATTTGTGAAGCATTGCGATTATGTTTTGAAAACCATGAACCACGGAGAAGACGTGGTACGCGCCCTTGGTGTCTACAAAAATGGCGGTACTACCAGAGAGGAAAAGTAAAACGAATGATTTCTAACGACTTTTTTATGGCCGTAGAAAAGACGCTCGAATGAAGGGCAAGAAAGACGGAAATAACACCACAACAACTCGCTTTTCCGAAATGTTCTGTCCTTTAGCATTTAGAACTGAAATGGGTATTAACATATTATATTCTACCATCAAACTTTTTCATGAGTCAGGTAAGGAACTTTCGTCAGTACTTGCTTAGGAAAGCTTTAAGTCATTAGAACATATTTTGGTTTTGTGTCTATCTCAACATGTCCAATTGAAGTCCAGGACATGCCTAGGACAGAGTTTGTGTGATAAAATCTCATCATATTTATGGAGTTGTGTGCATTTCGCCGTATTTTGTAATTGGGGAAATTTTGAAGTTCAACCTCTGGCCCGAAATAGGACAATTTCACCTGTCTAAGTTTGTTGCGATATTTCTACCGTCGTCAGATGTATATACCGATGATCACTAGAGCTGCAAGCTGACGCGTCATTTAAAATTTTCTTTTCAGGAATTTGTTTTGCTAAACGTTAAATAAGTCTCCTATGTGATCCCGTAGCACTTTCAAAATCCTTCCTGACAATAGCGTGTGAATAGTTTTTAGATGGTTTGCAAAGAGTCCTGCATTGTTTAAAATTATTTTTCTTAGAAATATTCCCGCTGTGGTAATCGAGTGCTGTAGTAATCAAATGCTGTTATATTGAAAACAAAACAAACAGCTGTTTTGAAATGGTAGGGGCTTTTTTCCCCTGGGTCAAAATTTCCCAATACTACTTGAGAGGCAAACGGTGAGCTTTATGCTCTCTAGTTATCGCTATTTGTAAACTAAGGTAAAAAAGGATTGCATCTACTGTAAAAAGGTATAATAAGAATTTTTGTCCTTCTACTTCGCCATATCATAAGGCAGAGCTTTGTGTCATAAAATCTCAATATAATTATGGAGTAGTGTCCTTCGCCGCATTTTGCGATTTTAGTTATTTTGAAGAAGTTCACCCTCTGGCCCAAAATAGGAGAGGTTCATGTATAAAACAAGACTTCTTAAACTCAAAACATATTGTAGTGTATAAATATTTTGAAGGCATGGTTTCCTTACTAAATCATATATTTAAAATGTGTATTACAGTTGTAAGTTTTTATAACCTTTACACTCGTAAACGATGAACCAATAAAACGAGGGTTCAAACTCAAACGTCCTGAACTTCATTGATATTTTGAAGGCGCATTTTTCTTACAAAATCATTGCTATAAAACGTATTACACTTGTTCAGTTGGTTTTGTCCTACAGAGTTATTTCTTCCCAATCGTATTTTACACATCTGACAATTTCCACAGAACGAATGTTTCTCTTACAACTCCTCCGTTAGACCGTCTCCAGAACTGATGCAATCTCCCTCATTTGACTGGCAAATTTCTGGCAGGAAAAAAAGAAAGAAGAATTGTTGCTTGTTTATAAGTCAGACAACTGTTTTTAGAAAAACCGTCCGTGATACGACTGATACCAAAATTGCTGTAGGAGTTGCATACATTGTATTTTCATCAAGTTAAGCTCAGGTAACGAGACATTTGAGACTTCTCGCTTTTGCAGAAACTCACCTTAAATTCGCCAATGGTCATTTCAAAGGACTTTGAAGTGATCGCCCCAGAGGGGTCTGTCACTGTTACTAAAGCTGTGATGTAGGGAGAATTCAGACTGCGACAAGAGCTAGAACTCACTCCGACAGAAAGTTTCCATTTCATGTCAAGTAACTAGAGAGATCAATTATATTGTATCATTAATTACATTCAACATTGATAGAACCAAAAAAAAAAGCAAACACTAAGTATCATATGTATATTGGTTGAATCAATAATTGCATACAACTTTCAAAGTCTTAAGAAACCCAACAATTGGCATTCTGTGACACCAAACAGTTATCTTTTTCATCACTAAAGTAATGTTTCATGAATTGTGTCAAAAGAAAATTGTGAGCATTAGGTTTCAAAAAAAGGAAGAAGAGGCATTGCCAGGTTTTGATGAGGAGACATGCAACTTCCTGAACAAATATTTCCTACATTTCTGACCTTATTTTCCAAGTCCCTCTATGGCACCCAACTAAAAATCACTGATTACACCTTGAACCTAAAATTACTGTCAGTAGCATTCTTGAAAAGAAAGAAATTTAGCAGTACTTGCGTTGTACTGTGCTGATCTCTCAAAATAGCTTTCAAATGTATTTATCTAAATCAATTACTTTGACACCATTTTTTGATACCTGCCCAACATTCAGGGTTTGTGTTAAGTCTGAGCTGCTTAAAATCTTTCCCTGAAAGAGAGATTGCAGACAGGAGTTTGAACACATGTAAACTGAGATTCAAAACTAAAATCAAATTCAAATGAATCATTATTTTCAGTTTCCAGACTCAAGACTATTAAATCATTTAGCTGTAATGGAAAAGCAGTTGCCAAGGGTGGGCTCTAAAATCAAAAATTCACCATAGATAATGTTAAAGAAATGTTTTGGCCAAAATAATTTATCTAAATTCAGCAACCTTAGAAAGATCTCAACTGGCAACAAAACACCTATTGCATTTCATAAGAAACTAATGATGTCTTCCAGTTTTTGTGACAGTTCACCTTGAACTTTACATGACAATAATATTCTTACATTAACATGACTAACTGACTCAAAAACAAACACTTACAAAAGTCTGCACAAACTTTAAAACAATCCAAAAATATTAATATTCCACTGAACTAGATAACTAAAGAAATGCTCAGAGAAACTTAAGAAAAGCAGCATATTACCTGTTCATTCCAAACATGTTTAAGAACTGAAAGAGTATTCTCCTTCCAGCATAAAGATGATTTCAGTTCTGCAATTAGTTTCTCAGAAGGTAACTTGGCCTTAGCAGCTGACCTGTTGAAAAATAACAACAGATTGAATCTTATCTGCAATTTATAAAGTGGTAAATTATGGGGGACTCAACTGCCTAGCAGTTAACGCCCCGACTACAGGTTGACAAGTCCTGGTTCAAGCCCTGAACAGGTCACTGTGTTGTGTTCTTGGGCAAGATTCCACTTTCACAATGCTTCTCTCCACCAAGGAGATACACAGATACTAGCAAACTATCAGGGAAGCCTGATGAAATCCTGGGGTTTAACTTGCAATAGACTGGTATCCTATCCAGGGGGGAGGGGTAACACTCCTAGCTACTTCATGCAGTGGAAACTGTGATAAGCTTTGATTAAATAGACCACCTGGCTTAAGTGCAGAATAATATTTTACTTACAGCTAGAATATTTTAGAAAGTGTGCTAACTATTAGAAATAAGCATTTACCTGAATACGTAGCTAATGGCATTGAGTAACAGCTTGGCATCATATGATATTCCAGCATCCTTAAGACACTTCAAGAAGAAAATCCATAACAGGTACAAGTAAATTTCTTGGACATTGATCACTCTTTTTTAAATAAAAAAAAACAACATTGCTGTGATAAGGTGAAAATCAACAAAACTAAAATTCCTTTGGAGGCCCTGAAAATTTGTCATCAGTGGAAAAAAGATAAATGACATATCCTCAAAGAATGATAACAAAAAAAACAAAACAAAAAGAAGTGGTTCAGTTCAACCATTAGTAAGAATTGTGTGCTGTAAATTCAGGATCCTAAGCAAGATCTTGTTGCACATGCATGTTTCCATTTATGTAACCTTTCATTACAATAAGAGCCTGTCCTTGCGAAAGAGAATTACCCATAGTGCTTGTGTCCCTATTGAGGACATAAGGGCATTCTGCTGAGAAAGACTGAGAAAGAAAGGTGTCCTGGAAATCAGTTACCATAGACAACTAGGAACAACCAGTAAGAAGCTAAGAACAAAAAATGACCATAGGATCCGATCTAAACATTGGAGAGAGTAGTAATGAAAAGCTGTCTATCTGTTGTGCAGTATGTTTCACTGGTAACCTGTCAATTGGTTTCGGGTGGTTTAACTAATTAATGACCAATTTCCACGCGTTTGGCCTGTGTTTAGTCCTTTTCTTACGTCATTTGACAAATGCATTATGTCTCTCGCAAAGATTCTTATTTAATGGGGTCCTGGCTATTACACAGCACTGAAAGATCTGCTTCACTTGATAAATGTTACAAGTAATCTATCCTTTGATTCATGATAAACTTAAGTTGTGCAAAAATCTTCAGTACCTTTTGATAATGTTCCTCAGGAAGAAGTGCAACTCTGTACTGAAGAAATGCTGCTACATCCTGGCACTACAACACAAAAGAGCACATAAAAATAAATCACAGTGGAGCTCAAACATGTGATACTGGCATCGTTCTGCAATATTTGCAAGTAATTATAGGGTTATGATTCATATACCATTTCAACAAGGATGTCTTGTGGTACAGAATTAAGTGCCTCCACTGCAGAGTTAAAACCTAGCGATCAACCAACAAAAAGAAAGAGGTTAAAATTCAATACGAGTTGAAAATACTCCTCAACAATCGAGAGAAAGACATGAAACAACCTTGAGGTAAATCCACGAACACTTGAGACATCTTCATTTCCTCTGGCCTCAGAGGCGCAGAATTCTTCCTTCATATGAACAGCAGTTGCTCCTGCAGAGATATTTGGTTGTTTATGCGACATGAATTTTATCTGGAAGAGGTGAACTTTAGCGATGAGTATTTTTTCGGAGGACTGGGTATTTGTCCAGCGGTTAACTCTAATAATTCAAAATGGCGGCTCAATCAGGACTAGGATGAACTTAGGAATCTTTTGGGAAAATCAAAATAAACTATGAAGCTGGTAAGGATAGGGAGGTGTTTCTGATTCATTTTATTACAATTATTTTTTCTTCTTAATTTTGGGGTTGTTTCATTCTCTTTTACAGTATTCCCTAGGAAGAACCAGCTCGGCGCCATGTCTCGTACTTCAGTTCAAAGGAGCAAGTATAATGTTGGACTGTTCTTTAGATGTGTCAACTCTGCAGCACTTTATGCCTCTTTCATTAGTGAACAAGTGAGTTTATCGATTTTGAGGTACTTACAATTACAACCACAATTTCAATTAAGAATTCATGGTTTTCAGTAAACCTGAAGGTGTGCGAGTAACATTTTTTCCTTGTAATATTTATGTAAATAGTGAAAGAACAAGTCAGCTAAAACCATGGACAACCAGGGAACTCCAGGATATTGAGGGATTTTCTGCCCAGAATGTAAGTTGTTTATGATATGACTTCATTCCCAGAGATGGAGATCTAAAATCTGGAGATTTTTTTTCAGACCAGCACCCCCTCCCCCCCGACCGAATTTGTCAATGCGGCCCCCACGAAAGTGTCTCTTTTGATTTAAACCCCCTACTTCCCCCCCTTCCAGGTAATTTTGCAGGAAAAATGTGGATCTATCTGTCAGTGACTTCAATTGGTTGAATACTCATCTAATCAGACTCTCCCCTATATAGGAGTAACAAACAAGAAACTTTCTTCTTTTTGTTTGGAATGAACAACATGCATCACACAAGAAAATGAAGCCAGAAACGAAATACAAGCATAAGAAGCCGGATGATTTTGAAATTTTGGAACATATGGAGCTTAGTTTTTTGTGGGCAACTGATCCAAACTTCCTTTTATCCAGGAATTTTGGTCATCTGTACAGGAGGGCCAGAGATTGACTCTGTATCCAGGAGACTTTGGAATAATCTGCGAGAGTTGGCATATATGATCCCATATTTTCCATAATTCCTTATATCATTCCATACTGTCTGTTATGCTGTTGTTTAGCCCTTTGGCCTGAAAGAGGGATAAGCATTCGATTTTATCATACAATATTACCCCTGAATCACACATTAAGGTTATGTGAATAAGGGAAATGATCACCAAATAAAGAAGCTCTCAATTGTTAAACAAGTTCTCCATGTAAGCAACTTAGAAAAAGTATGGAGAAAATGCATACTGATGGTAGAATGTTAAGGAATTAACATGTCTATGTACCTGACACTGCTCAATTCAATACTCCTCAGAACTTAAAGGAAATTGGTGGGAAAGTATTCATAGATGAGGAACCAGAAATTTGCCCTCCAGAGGTAATTCAGATGATATTGAAATGCAACACTTTGCTTTTTAAACTCTCATGAAGTGCTCAGTAAGTATGGTAAAAATATAACATTCTTGAATTGGAGAAAGAAAATCTCTTATTTTAAACTCCTGTAACCTCTAAGAGTGATTGGCATCCAACATTTTTTTACAGTGTCCTTGCTGAATCAAACATTAAGGTTATGAGATTAGAGGAAATAATGGCTTACTAGAGAAACTTGTGATGGGTGAATTAATTCTCCATGTCAGCACCATATGAAATGTATATAAAACAGTGTGGAGAATATAAATACCCATGTTAGGGTGCAAAGGGTTCATTGAAGGAGTTAACCCAAAGAAGAAGAGGAAGCAATTTGTTGTCAAAGCAAGTAATGCACCTTTTGAAAAACAGAAGGAAAGATTGCCATGGAGATATCTCAAGCTTGACAGTCTTTGTTAACTTTAATTTTTGTTTGGCTTAATTAGGATATTAACTTTTGTTGATGATTATTTACTTTAATTTGATAGGATTGTCTGCTGGATATTTCCACCATTGACATCATTCTTATATCTAATTACCATTTCATGTTGGCATTACCTTTCATAACAGAGGTAAGTTGTAATTGATAATGTCGCGGGTCAGTCCATGGATAATTTGGATCATTCCTAACAAACATTTCAGCAAATTATCAATGTGTAAGTGAAAGGTGATGTTATTTAGTGAACAAAACAGGCATACTTGGAGAAAAGGAACTTCAAGGAGTGTTCCAAATAGGAGTCTAACATACAACCTTCTGATTAGTACCTTGGATACTTCACCACTAAACTGTATGAGTCCAGTGGCAGGCTGGCTGTTTAATTAGGCTCTTGATGATGAACTTCTCATATACTTCTAGGAAAGGGAGGTTGATATGATGTCAATATGTAATGCTTCTGCGCAGTGACAATGTGAGTGGAGATGCATGGTAGATGTTTTTGTTGTGACTTTTCTTTCTCTTTTCCTTAGCATTCAGGATTCAAAGGAAAAATCTATGCCACTGAACCAACAGTTCAGATTGGAAGGTAAGAATTGTGCTGATCTGTGTGGTGTACAAAGAGGGTTAGTTTCTAAAGAAACTCTGGTGTTGCATTGGTGGAAAAGTATAACAGGGTAACTAAGTACTATAAATCGCTCTGTTGAAAGGCTAATGCTTGAAGCATCAGCTTTTTAACTCTTTGCAGTGGCCAATTTACATTATCAGCTCAGTTGACAATACTTAATTACCCTGTGTGATGTACAGACAGGTAATTTATTAAGTGTCCTTTAAAAGTCTGAGACCTTGTTTCTTGCTTATGTCCTTGATTGTGAGAATCTAAGTTAAAATGTCTAAGCATGTTATTTTATTGAGGAATTTTATCTGCAGAGAACTAATGTTAGAGATGGTGGTGTATGCAGAGCGAGTTCCAAAAGTGAGCAAAGGAAACATGTGGAAGGACAATGAAGTTTTAAGGTTTGTTTTGTTATTTTTATGTTCCCAGGTTCTCAAAACAACGCAATGAGGCAACACAACACAATGACTTAGTCAGGTCTTAAAATGGACCTTTTGAGCGGGATTTTCAGCATGTTTCTGTTAGGCTACTACATCTCCTTTAAGATCCCGTAATGGTCTACCAAAGTAAGTGAAGACTGAGTTAACAAGGTCACAATACTTTTGGGGCTGGCACTTTAGCAGTTCCTTTAATTTTTTTTTCTTTTTCTTTTTTTTTTTTTTTTTTTCATTTGATATTTTGTTGTTTCAGATGTCTTCCTCCTCCTCTGTGTGACTTAAAGGGGACAAAGTCATGGAAAGTACTTTACAGGTGAATCTTGAAATTACAACAACTGAAGTTATTGAAAGGTGATTTATAAATGATATTCTAGTTGACAGCTTCTGTTTTAGTGTATTGTATTCTAACTTGATAAAAAAAATTTAAAAATTGATCAATCCCTTCAGGTAAGATTTACATGTAGATCATATCAGCCCCAAAAGCATTGAGAGCCACCAAATTCTTGGTATATCCTCAATTGAGGCTTGCAAAAAGATGAAATTTAGTTTGTTGCATGGATGAGTTTTTGAACCAAATATGAAATTCTGAGAATGTGCCTCAGAAACACCCATTTCAGAACAGTTTGTGATCCAGGCTCATGAAAAATCCTAAGGAATGCAGGGAGGCCTATATGTATGAATTTGAAACAAAATCACTGCTCAAAATCATCTTTGTAACTTTTGTCATTTGAAATAACTGTTTTCTCCTGCAAAATGATTTCTTTTTCTTTGGCACATTCCTTATGACAGCAAAAAAGATGTAAAGGCTTCAGTATCAAAGATTCAGAATGTTGGATATTCAGAGAGAATTGTAAGTATTGTCAGAAAAGGCTGAAATGTATTATATTTCACAATTTTAACTCCTTGTTACTTCCATCCAAAGAGAGCAGGATTAGATTGCTAATACCAAAATGTTGTGCTTACAATTTCTCTTGTTTTGGTTTTCAATCTTAAACCAGTTTGAATTTCACTTTTCATTGTTTCCGTTGATGACAATGAATTCCTAACAAACGAATGTCTAATCAAACTGATTTGAATAGTTTTAAACTAAGGAAAAATTTTGTTTGACTGCTTTCAAATCTCAACTCTTTTCAATGTAGGATCTGTTTGGTATTCTAAAGCTCACTCCCCTCAGTTCTGGATATTGTTTAGGAAGCTGTAACTGGGTCATAGAATCTGACTATGAAAAGGTTTGTTAAATGAAGTTAGTTTTGATTTGTTATTGTAACATAATATTGGGAAGCTTAGTAGTACTAATACTTTTTTTATAACTTGAATTGAAGCACTGGTGTACAAAACCAACTTACATTTACAGTGTGTATCAAATTTAAGCTGGTGTTTTAAGTTTATTATAGTTTATAATGTTTGTACCTTTTTCATTCTTTTGGTTGGTTTTCCCTTTTATTAAAGAAGTAATGTTATTGTACAGAAAAAAAAATTGAAAAACAAAACAAAACAAACTATTTTTATGACATTATGTATATGTTTAACTCATTTTCCCTCCTATAACACATGTGCAGTACTATATGAAAAAAAAATTAACTTTTAATCAACACAAGATATTTGTTTATAACAGGTCAGTTATATTTCTTGTTCATCGACATTCACCACTCATCCTCTTCCAATGGACCAGTCCATGCTGAAGAACAGTGATGCCTTAATTATGACTGGCATCACACAAGCTCCCACTGCAAACCCTGATGCCATGCTGGGGGAATTCTGCACTCACCTAGGTAAATACAACAACATGGGAATGTACAGTTAAGGTGTTTCAAAGTCAAATATCTTATGCAATCTAGGCTGTATTACCCTTTGACCCCTAAGAGTGACCAACATTTAATTTCTCCTTACAATTTCTCCTCTGAATCACACATTAAGGTCATGAGAATAAAGTTAATGATCACCAACTTAAGAAGCTCTTGATTGTTTGACAAATTCTCCTTGTCAGCACCTTAGGAAATGTATAGAGAACAGTATGGAGAATATGCATACTGATGTTAGGGTGTAAAGGGTTAAGAGAAGCATGGTGTAGTGATACGATTTATAATTGTTTGTTTTCTTCTTATTCTACAGCTACCACTTTACGAAATGGAGGAAATGTTCTTGTGCCTTGCTGCCCCTCTGTAAGTTGTTTGATAAGGCTTGTATTGACCAACAGTCATTAATTACACCAGTAGAACATCAAAATGGTGTTAAATTCAATGAGCACAGGCAAGAATGCGAAATGATATAGAAATGTACAAAAATGGTTGCGGAGAAATAATTGTTTCCTTGAACTATGAGTTTGTAAAGTATTTGAAATCAGAGAATGGATAAAAAGGCAACGCTTTAATTGTCTTCCTTACCCAGCCTCTTTATCTTCCATTCCAAACTTCCTCCTCCATCAGAGGTTTAAATAAAAGCAATCTTTCACTTATAAGATCCTTCACCACCTTAGCTTGTTTAGCTTGTCAGCAAAGTCTCATGTTTGAGTTTCACCTTATGGCATAGCCACCTATTGCAGCAGCAATTGCAGCTTATGGGAAAATTTATTGAAACACCACTTTCCATGTCTTCATGGCACATTCTCTACCTTCCTTTCAATTACCTCATGCCAACTAATTCTTTTTTTTTTTTTAAATCACAGGGTGTTCTGTATGATCTTTTTGAGTGTTTGTACTCATATATGGATGGTGCCAATCTTTCAGCCATCCCTATCTACTTCATCTCTCCCGTTGCAGATAGTTCTTTAGCTTACTCTAATATTTTTGCAGAGTGGTAAGTGAAAAGAATTGACTCAACTTTGCATTCGTTTTCTCCCTTTGGAAAAATTAGTTGTATTGTTTCCCTGAGGTGATCAGCATTGAAAGAGGACTCAAGAAAGGAAGGAGCTCTGAAATATTGTTGACAGTAATAAGATACAACCAAACAAGCATTTCTTATTGTATATATCCTTTTATCCCTTCGAGTGACCGGCATCTAAATTGATCTGTACAGAAATAGTGCAAAATCATTCATTGAGATCACGAGAATTAAGGAAATGATCTCCAACATGAAGAACCTTGTTAAACAAATTCTCCTTGTCAGTACCAAAGGAAATGTATAGAGAAGGCTTGGGAGAATATGGATACTGATGTTAAGGTGTAAAAATTAAGGGGGGATTTTGTAAAGAAATTGTGTTGCTGCATCGGTGAAAGGTATTACAAAATAATTTGGTTTTATCAATTGAGTTGTTAATTTGAATCGGCCTACGGGGGAGAGGTCTTAAGTAAACATTTAAAGCATCACCCCTTCGTCAGAGAGAAAATGAAGTCCTCCTATTGTATTCTTGTATCTCTGTGGAAGGCATTGACCAATTTCTTCTCTTTTTTAAGGCTTTGTCAGAGTAAGCAAAGCAAAGTTTATCTACCAGAGCCACCATTTCCACATGCTGAGGTACATGTACAGAGCCTTGCTCTTGTTTTACAAATTTTAACCCTCCAGATCTACCAGCTATCTACAAAAGACTTCCCTTTTGGATCGTCTTGAGGGTTTGGTGTCACGCCATCCTCGGAGATCCAGGGGCTGTGAGTCGATTTCAAGTCGGGCTCTCCCGCCCTGAATTGAAATCGACTAACAATTCCTGGGTCTCCGAGGATGGCGTGACACCCTAACCACATCGCCTTGCTGATTGAGCGCTTTTCGAGCGTCGAAAAAACAAAACTTACGATATCACAGCAGCCAATCAGGTGTACGAAAAATATCACGAGGAGCCAGTGAGAATCCAGAGTAAAGAAACGCAAAAAGCTTCAAGCGCGGGAAAACGTAAGAGATTGGTTTTAGTTCTGGGTTTGATTGGTTGAAAAAGTGGCGCGAATCTTTTTGGACCAGTCAAAATGGAAGTCAAACAAAACCGAAGTATTTGCGGATTACCTTCGATATCCAGTTGAAAACGTATTTGTGTCAATTGAACAAATAAATTCCGATTTTCTATGCGTCCGTCCGGAAAAGATAACAGATGACGTAAAAAATGGGGAAGAACGAAAGTCGGAAAAGTGGCACACGAGGTACAGCCAAGTGTGGCACTGATATTCTTACCACCTTTTAAGCCATTTTCTATTTTTTTTTTTAACAGCTTGTGAAAGCAAACCGTCTGAAACACTTTCCCAGCATCCATGGTAAGATAGCGTACATCTTGACTTCTCCAGTTTTCTTATCATCTTTGAGTGAAGTGCTGTAAACTGAGTATTGTTGCCGATAATGACCTCGAACTCGAGCAGACCATTTTAAACCAGTGAGCAGCCGATACAACTGCAACTGTTTTAATTAATCCTTGAAAGTTTTAGAGTTCTTCCTTCCTCACCAGAGCCCAATTACATTGGTATGATAATTACATTGCATTCAGCTGCCCCACCCAATATTGAACGGTTCTTTGTGTGATCACCGAATGTTGTAGAATTTTGCAAAGTCACGTATTAGTTTTTGGTGTTGCTTTTGGGTTTTTCGCTTCTATGCATCATTCCTCTACGATGTGAAATTGTCTTTCTAAGCCATTAGAAAGGAGACTCCTTACGTTTAAAATCTTATATTCCCCACCGCCCGTGGGTGACCCGGGGGGCGGGAGGGGGCGTGTCAAAGCTTCGAATTGATCGATGCATAAGCCATTCGTTGCACGTAAACGTGTCATTATATTGCGGTGACTAAGCCTGTGAACATCGCCAGTTTCATAAAGAGTGATTTTTGCAGATGGATTGAGCAGTTGTTTCAAGACGCCCTGTGTCGTATTTACTGGACATCCATCGTTAAGATATGGAGATGTAGTGCACTTCATGGAACTTTGGGGAAAATCAAATGGAAACACTGTTATATTCACTGGTAAGAAAAGTGTCCTTGATTATGACACTCCCTTTAGAAACCGCTTTGTTTAGAAAACCATATGCCGTTTTCTATATAATTTTGTTTCAGTTTGACGAGTCAAATTAAATGTCTTCCTTTTAGAGCCAGAGTTTCCATACCTCGAGGCTCTTGCTCCATATCAACCTCTAGCAATGAAGGTAGGTGTGTTAACCCTTTAACCCCTAAGAGTGACTAACATCTAATTTCTCCTTACAACATCCCCCCTGAATCAAACATTAAGGTCATGAGAATAAAGGAGATGATCACCTACTAAAGAAGCTCTTGATTGTTGAACAAATTCTTCTTGTCCGAACTCTTGGAAATGTCTAGGGAGTATTATGGAGAATATGCATACTGATGTGAGGGAGTAAAGGGTTAATCGTGTTAAATGTAATTAAACAAATAAATTAACGAATCAATTGAGAGGACGGGCGAAAAAATCTTCGGAAGGGAGAGGAGGTAAGGTCGACCTTCTTGCTTGTGCTTCGAGCGCCCTCGTCCACTCTTTCAGGAGCTAGGGAATTGTTCTTTGTACCTCGATAACTTCAGACTAAAAGCTGCAAACAAAAGTAATTAAGTTGTATTTTTCCGCACAAACACACATTAAATTTAATTTGGGTTATTGTTCATCTGTTTCTTTTTTTAGGCTTGTTACTGTCCGATTGATCCAAGACTTAATTTTACACAAGCTAACAAACTTATTCGTGAACTTCAGGTCAGTACTTATACATCGATGACAGTTATAGAGAGTTTTGAGTGGAACAGTGAAACTTTTTCCTTCGCGGAAGATTGCTCTCTTGTACTTAAAGTCACGTAGCTTAGGCGGCGAATTGAAAATTTCTCCGGTTACTTGCATCCTCCACAAATCCCACCTCTCGCTAAAACGGTTATGTTTTTGTTACCTTTTCGGGTTATTTCCTTCTTTTATTTTTCTGAACTCCTCATTTCTTAAACCTCGTTTTTATTAGCTCCCTTACAGCTTTTTAAAGGTTGTAATGGGGTCAATTGTGATAATTATCTCTTTACTTTTACTCTTCAGTCCTAACTATTTTAAATTTTCGAATGTGATATTTAGAGAAAGATACGGTATCATTATTACTTTTTGTTCGTTTTTATTTCAGCCTGGTCAGCTTGCTATACCGGACACATACACCAGAGCACCGGATTTATTGCCGCACAGAACAGACTTAACCATTCAAGATACGGTAAACGATTTTGCTCTAACAGATGTTCATCGCGGGCAATGATCAGAAGACGTCCTTGCACGAGCAATCACTTGTGAACAAGAGAGGAGCGATTTTCTAGACTGAACCACCCGAAAGGCCTTACTCCTATGTTAACTACTTTTAGCATGCTTAGCAAGCAGTTTTTCGACGCAGGTTGAAAATCGATCTATGAAAATGTTGGACAGTTTCCTTCCCAGACCATCGCAGCCTACGATTCATAGCGCGAGTAAAACTGCCAGCAACGCAAGCTAAGCTGCTCTCAAGTTTTATTTAGACTTCAGGTGTCTGGCGTTGCGGCAATAATGTTATATGAACCTCGCGTGTTGCATGTGTCACTGGAGAACGATTGTCCCTTGGAATGCCTTTGAGAGCAAATTTGATTTACGATTTTTTATTTTGCCTTTTTTAGGAGTGCAAGATCTCGACGTTTAGCCATTTGGATGTTCTATCGCTGTCGGTGAAAAGAGAGTTTGAGAAAGTTGTCTTATCGAACGAGGTTAGTTTGCGTCTTTAAGGTAGAGACAATCTACGCAAAGAATGCTTCGCCGGCGTTTGATGTCAAGTGCTGCTTTTCATAGTTAAGAATTTACGAAGCTTTCGCGAGGCCAGAGAATAGGTGTGCAAAGTAAGGTTGGCCTTCGAAGCGCAGTCTTTTTGCGCTCACCCGAAGCCAAGCGGGGTTCGCTTGTACTGATCGCATTAAACACTCGATGAAACAACACAATGCCGCCATCCTTACTTAATTTCTAACTTGAATGGTCACCAGAGCCTAGACCAGTGTCCGATTTTGCACACTAGTGTCTGATTTTAGCATTATTTCCAGTTTTAGACACTTGTGTCTGTGTTTAGACACTAGTGTCCGATTTTGGACACAAGTGTCCGAGTTTTGACTATAGTGTCCGATTTTACACCGAAGTGTCCAATTTTAGACACAATCGGCCGATTTTGGATATTTGTGTCCGATTAAGACACTAGTGTCTGCTTTAAGACATAAGTGTCCGATTTTAGGCACTAGTGTCCAATTTTGAACACTAGAGTCCTATTTTAGATACAAGTGTCTGATTTCGGATTCTAGTTTCTGATTGTAGACAGTAGGGCCTGATTTTAGACAGTAGGGCCTGATTTTAGACAGTAAGGCCTGATTTTAGACAGTCTGGCCTGATTTTAGACACTAGTCTCTGATTTGAGACATTAGGGTCTGATTTTAGACACTAGTTTTCTTATTTTAGCCTCTAGTAACTGTTGTAACATAAATCGACCAGAAGTGTTGCAACTTTCCTACGATAGGATTGCCAGCTCATTGCTTTTTTTCTTCCACGCCCTCTTAAACACACACACACACCAGTGGACTGTTAGGTTTCCTTGGCTCTCAGTTGGCTGATTTCTCGGTGAAGAGAGGCGTCTTTAAAGCTATGTTTATTGATGATATTTACCAAACAAGTCAGTCAAAACACGTGGATAAATTTTGATTTGCTGTCCTTTTTCAGTTGGCCAGCGGGCTCCACCCTCAGGAAGTGAGACCTGGTATCGCAGTAACCACTGTTACGGGAACCTTGGTATCGAAAGACAACAGATACACTCTTGAACCGTTAGATCTGACGGGCGACGGATTTAACAAGACAAAGTGAGTCGCTTAAACCTCTACACCCTAACATCAGTATTCAAATTCTCCTTACTGTTCTTCATACATTTCTTGAGAAGCCGACAAGGAGAATTTGTTTAACAATCAAGAGCTTCTGTAGCTGGTGATCATTTCCTTTATTCTCAGGATATAATGTGTGATGCAGAGGTGATATTGTAAGGAGAAATTAGATGCTGGTCACTTCTAGAGGTCAAAGGGTTAATTTTATAGTTAGGACCAATTTTAAGTGTCTTAAAAATAGACTGTATGTTGCTCTGACGAATATTTCTCTCGCAATACTTTTTTTTTCTGGAATTTAAGTCTTTTTTGTCTTAAGGTGAAATTTTTTTTTCTTCATACAGGGATTCAAAGGCGGAATCTAAAACAGGCCAGAAGTCCTGTCATTTATGGGGGAGCGTACTCGTGGAAGATCTCGTAAAGTCTTTAGCGAAGGTGAAGTGTCATTACAAGGCTGCCTCGCATAGCTGCCGAAACTCATCAATACGGAGAAATATTTTTATTAGAGATTTTTTATTACTACTTTCTCAGCGCCCAAATCTTGCTCACTTTTTGCCGTTTTTGTCTTCTCAGCGTGGTATTGAGGACGTTAACGTGGATTCTGATCACGGGGGACACACTCTCCACTTGGTGAGTGAAAGCTAACTCAATAAAGGACATTTCCAGTGTTTAAGTTGGCGTTCTTGATACTATTAAGATTATATGTAATGAGCGCTCGCATATTAGGCAATGAATCGAGTATATTATTTGGGCGCATGTGGATATGGAATTTCTCTTCGAGTGTTCAATTTGATACCTCAGGAGTGAGCGCAGCGTGCGGGTGAGATATTGAGTTGAAGACGAGAAGAGAAATTCTATATCTACATGCAACCATGTACTAGACTCTATTTATGAGTATACATTGATTTAAACACCACAGGCCTTTACTTGCAAGAAAAGTCCCAGGGTGAGTGATGTGTCAGTAGCTGGTTGGTGAAATCAACACACGTAAAACATTATCGTTATTTTACACGTGTGCGGTTACTGCTTCACTCAGGGCTGGAAATCTTGAAAAAACACCGTAGTATTTAACTTAAAGCTTTTCTGTGTTCTACGCTTAAGCCACACACCAACCCCTCCATTCAAAAAAAAAAGTTGAAAAACAATCATGAGCACACGATTTGCTCACAATTAATATCGATGTCAAACCTTTCATCCCCAGTTGCTTCGCCTACAATGAGTGAGAAATTTATAAAGTATTTGAGTATTTCAGTTTACCTTTTTGGACTTCCCTACATGTAACTATTGAGTTAAGGCCGGCTTTTTTACTTTTGTTTGTAGACCCAGCATGATGCTATGATTCAACTGGATCGTAGTGGGACGCATATTATCACGCACGGAAACGAGGCTCTTAGAATCGACATCCGGGATTCGCTTCTTGAGTGCGTGTCACAGTTTTAAACGCGTACCAACGTCCAGGAAGTTTGGTGGTTACCTCTAGGGAAAAAACTTTTGTGTTCAACTCCGGACATGCCGTCATCTAATGAACTGCAAAAGCGCAAACGTCACATCAGTTTCCGTTGCCAAATTTTTTAGTTCAAATTTATTGTGAGGACGAACTGGGTTGAAGAAGCGTGCGCAAAGAACGAAGTCTTCAAGTCGTTTTATCAATTTTTTTAAAGTAGAGAGAGAAAAGTGTATATAAGTTATCAATTCGTTTACAAACATTAGAGGTTAGATAACCGTAGAGTCAACTAAGATTATGATGTGCGTCTTGTCACGAACGTGGTACAAAGAAATAAAATCTGCTGACTGTCCGATGCAAAATGAACCTCAGACCTTCGCATTTCGTTCTCTGATGCTTACCGCTGGGCTTCGTAGATCTAGAAGACGAACCAGAAGTGAATTTTTGGGGTTTATTAAACAATTTTCTGCATACTGCAATGTCTACACAATTTTGTGCGCAAACAGAGTAATGTAAAAGGTCTAACACAAACAAAATAACCAAACAGTACCAAGAGATTATGAACTAAAAATAAACTGTTTAATCGTTTGACTCACGATGTAATCACTTGAGATGTAGATCGCGACGCTTCGACTGCTTACTGCTCGTCTTCATTGGGCAATGGGGTCGACGGCTTACGCGTTACCATTGGTATTACGGCGATCTAATACGATTGGCGGATTTCGATCCCTATTGTTCCGGTGAGTTCTGGATTTCCGAGAGGTCTGACTTCAAGTTGTTCCCTTGGCAGTTTGCTGTCGTGCTGGTCTTCCGTTGTGTTTCTTAGTCGTTGATATCCGTGCTTCAAGAATTTTGATTCCGTTATCCCTGTTGATCAGTTACTGAGGGGAGTAACTTTCGCCGAGTTATCTGTTGATTTTTTTCTTATGAAAATGTATAACCGATGTCAATACAATACAAAACAATACTTTATTTACCCACGCTACATCTAGGAGTGATAAAAACTCGTTAAAACATGTGCGTGAAACGAAAAACGTTAAAAAGAAAAGAAATAATTTAAAGTTACCATTCTTAAATGCATCCTAAAACTTGCTTCTTTAAAAGACATTTAAAAGTAGAAATATCCTTGGCGTTTCTAACATACGTTAGTAACGAATTCCAAAGTTTTTCTGCCAAGAATGAGAATGACCAATGGCGCCATTCTAGATTGAAATTGGGTAACGTTAAAAGTGTCCCTAACCCTCTTAAATTACAATTGCAGATTTTAATCTTAAAAATTTCTTCCATGTACCCTGGGGCTTCTTTATGAATACATTTATATACCAAAACTAGGGCCTGGAATTTTCTCCTTTTTTCTAGCGTTCTTTTACCAGCCATATTTAATAAATTATTGTATGATATGTACCTTTCCTATACCCTAAAATAGATCTAAGAATATAATTATTGGTGTCTTCTAGTTTTTTAACTTTACCTCTTCCAGCTCCAAGTAATAGCGGACAACAATATTCTAAATGAAACGAAATATATGCGATGTCTAGTTTCTCTCTAAAATTATGTCATAGGTTTAATAACAGGGAACAGGATTTCAAGTTGTCCAATTCTGCTAGTTACGATACTCGTGTTTTACAAATCAGGCTACCGCTTCGCGGTCGTCCGATTTTTTTCAATCACTCGAATGATTACAGACCGAATTGGATTCCACTCGGATCTATTACCATTGTTAATCATAACCATTACAATTTCCTCAAGTGTGATTGGTGCATTAGTTTCTTTATTTTCACTGATCATCCTCGATTGTGATTGGTTTAAAAACTCCTCTCTCCACTAATTCCACTTGCCAAGTTATTATCGGACAGTTTTTTATCTGACAGTTCAGTAAGCCAATCACATTCAAAGTTGTAATTTAAATCAACCAATCACATTTAAAGTTGTAGTTTAAATCAATCTTTTAATGCAAAGTTTCCCTTTCTTTCATAACTCGACTAATTCTACAATTCTTACTAATTTTCGTTATTTGACTCCACTCGGTCGTATTACCAATACAAGACGCCTTAAGGCGTTACCGTGGAATGCGTTGGCTACTGTGCGTAGCATTGAAAGGAACTGTGCAGTTACTGTAAACTACCATGATAAGTCAAGTTGACTAGGCCGAAGAAATCACTGTAGAAAATCCGTGACTGTTTTTGTAGCTGAAAATACTGGAGAGTTTCAGCTCAAAAACCTTTGGACTTTCTGAAACAAACTGTAACACTGAACCTACTGATCTGTATCAAATTTCCGTTTGCAAAATTCGTCAAATTTAGCCGCTGGAATCAAAATCTTACTTCGCCTGCACGAGCCAAATTCCACTATTTTCCAATTCTGTCACTTTTCGCCTCACAATGGCTCAATATACATTTGCATTCTAATGCAAGGATCTTTGTTTACACGGTGTTCTCAAGCTTTTATCTGAGAAGTTTTCTGCCTCGGAACGAAAATACCTCGGAACGCACTCAATGTGACCTCCGTTTTTTTCTTTTGACTGGATGAAATATAAGATACGCAGAAATGAATGTCACAGGTTTTCTTTTTTCAGAAAAGCACACGATTCATTTCGTCCGCTTCTAATCAATCCAGCTGCCAATGTTTACCTTAGGTAAAAATTGATAAAGATTTTACGTATTCCTATTTGGCTAGCTTTGCAATTTGTCCACGCACCGAAAAAGAAACAGAGGCCGGTTTTTACCGTGGTATGCCACAGGGGCACCTCATGCAATAAATTGTCGTCGGAATAATCATTCAATAATCATCAATTATGCCGCGCCTTGTAATTGGCGGTATCTAAGTATGCCGATTTAAATAACCCATGTGATCAATATGCTTTCTGACCAGAGAACTCGACACAACTTCTTCGGATAAGAGCCGGCGGAAAGGTACACGTACATGGGATGTAAACACAGTTTTACCCAAAATGTCGCTGATTGTTCACGACACGATATCGCTGACAACTTCTGGCGGAGTAAGCAGTATTCAGTTGTGTATCGGAGACATCACGAAGCTGTCGAAGGAAGAACAAGTCGATGTTTTGGTTGTTTCTGCGTTCCCAGGTGAGGTGCGATGTAAACAGAGAAGGTCAACAAGACCACTAGAAGAGTTTTAGGCGATTTCGAGCTCCAAATGCTCGATGTCAGTACATGTGTTCTTTACTCGATTATTTGTAAGTTGATAATGTAATAACGAGTCGATGAAGACCTTTAAATAGGAGATGTTTAAGATGTTTGCCACGTCGCCCACATATCAAATATCCAGATAAGCTTTTATCAAAAACAGCTTAGATTCTTTCGTGGGAAAAAAAAACATCACATATTTACCAGCTCTAATCGCTTCAGTAACGCCACGGTGGTTTTTGAATCTTGAAGATTATTTTGAAGACTTAAGATGTACAAAATTAATATTGTTTTAATGAGCAAGCAGTTATTTGATATCGCTCGATACAAAGCGAAGTAGAATTTTAGTTTAGGATGGCAGAATTCAAAAGTTTTAGAATTATAGAGTAATATAAAAATATAGAGTTATGATTATAGAAGTATAGAACTATAGAATCATTACAACATCAAACAGTTTTAACTCATGAGTGAGCAAGATAGAATTTCTCCTTACAATATCAATACAATCACCAGCACACAAGTGATAAAAATTTTAAAAAATGTCATTTCGGGGATTAGTTGTTGATCCAATACCAAACTTGCCAAACTAACATCTAAAGAACTATATGACAGACAGCAAGGAGAATTGTGAATTAATTAAAGGAGATCTGTGGGTTGAAATTTCTGTAAGTTGTACAAGTGTTCAAACTGAGCTAGGGCTGGATATGTAGCCAGTGCTTCAATAGATTCATTGTAAATTCACTGTTCAAACAGCATTTGGAAGCTGAATGGTCTGCCTGTGGTTATTTGAGACAAGGGAAGGAGCTACTACTTGTCTCTTAAATGTTTCAAGTAACCACTGGGGGGAGGGGGAGGGGTGAATGGGGGATGTTGAATCTTCAAATTGATTGGGGCATAATGCCCAGTCCCATACCTGGCAAAATGGATTTAATTAACAAGCATCAAAAGTTTTGTCCTATGTCCATCAATTTGCTTTATTTGAACATACAATCAGCAACATGGAATCTATTTGTCAATTTAACCCCCAAAGCGATTAACATGAAACTTCTTCCTAGAATATCCATACATTATTCCACAAACAGGTACTGAATATTCAAACTTATCAGGTAGAAGCTGCGATCTTGATCTAGCACTGGGTTCTTATGACTAATTTACAAGGGAATCTATAGCAGATAGAGGAGAGAATTAAATAGAACCCACTTTTTCTTACAGGTGACTACTCCCCCACACCTAGTTCTCTAATAGGAGCTCTTTCCATCAATCTTGGCATCAGTGTGCGTAATCTCTCGCAGGACAAGGAAGAAGACCTTCGTAAACAGTATTTCTGTTGGTGGTCCAAACCACTTCATGAACGGCACAGTTTCAGAAGGATCCTCTGTTTTGAGGGGGGATTTGGCAGCCGTGGAAGCTCACCACCGAAAGTAGTGGGGGCTGTGTTTAGATGTCTCATACCAATTCTTAGTGGGAAGGATTCCAAGGGCGGGTCAGTGATAATGCCTCTCCTTGCATCTGGGGATCAGGTATTTTAATTCAGCTCCTTCTGGAGTAGTTTTGATTTGTAGAGGAAAGATTTTTGACCCACAGTGTATCAAGCTAATATTCCAGATTCCTTGTATGAAAGTAGGAAATTGTTACCTGTGATTGTGCTTCCTGCTCTTCTCTCAATCTCTCTTAACTTTAACATCAGTATGTATATTCTCTATACTGTTCTCCATACATTTCTCATCATGGTACTGACAAGGAGTATGTGTTAACAATGAAGTCTAGAAGTATATAGCAGTTGAAGTGTTGCAATCAATATCCAATTGATTAGCCTAACTCTTACATCCTGAGACAAACTATTAACCCTTTAATAAAGGGGTAAGTTTCTAAAGAAACTGTGGTGCTGCGTTGGTGGGAGAGTATAGCAGGTAATTTAGTGTTAACAACTGGGTTGAAAATGTAAATTAGCCACTGTAAAGGGTAAAAAAGCTGACGTTTTGAGCGTTAGCCCTTCATCAGAGCGATAGGGCTAATGCTCAAAACATCAACTTTTTTACCCTTTACGGTGGCTAATTTACATTTTCAACCCAGTTGTTAACACTAAATTACCTATTAACCCTTTAACTCCCATGAGTGACCAAGACAGAATTTCTCCTTACCATATCAATACAATATCAACCAGATAACTAATGAGAATAAAGAAAAATATCAATTTGGGGATAATTAATTGATCCAATGCTAAATTCTCTGAACTAACATTCCAAGAATTGTATGGTTAACAGTAAGAAGAATTACAAATTTAATCTGGGAGTTAAAAGGTTAAACATTTTTTTTAGTCCCATTTGTTCCCCTTATATTAAACATACACTACATAGGGTAGAGAATGTGATCCTCCTTCTCTCTGAATGTCAGGCTGTCTTCTTCACCTCAAAGGGTGCAAATTGCTCAGATTGAGAATTAAGAAGTAGTTATTAATAATAATTGTGATATTGTTTCAGGATGTACACACAACTAAAACTTACAAGTGTTTTTTCATTATCTTCATAAAGGGCTACTCTAAGGCACTGATGTTAAAACTCATAATTAACTCTGCAATACAATGGATCAAGACTGGCCTAGAATTGAAGACCCTGAAAGTTGTTTTGTTTTCAAGAAATCCTACAAAGCCTGACAAGTCACATGAGCCACTCTTTGAAAGCTTTCAAAAGCTGAAAGACACTTATGGAGACAAAGAATTAACATCTGTACAGGTTAGTAAAACTTTATGTAAAAGATATTTTTAACAAGAACTATAAATTATGGGTAACTTTCAGTTTATTGCTAAATGATACTCTCATTTTCTTGATATGTTTCCACTCTCTGCTTATCTGCACGGAAGAGACCTTTAACCCTTTAACTACCAAAAGTGATTGCCATATAACTTCTCCTTATAATATTCATACATCATCCAGCAAACAGGTAATGAGAATACTCCAACTTATCAGGTAGAAGTTGTTATCTTTGTTACTTATGGACATATAAATGTATAGCAACTGGAGGGGAGAATAAACAAACAGATCTTGGGAGTTAAAGGGTTAAGGAGGTTGGCTGATTTACCCCCGTCTGTCATCCTAGCTGAGTTTTCTTTCCAACTGTACATTAATTCTTAATGAAAATATCTTCAAATGATATTTACTTGTCTTGGAGGGGTTATGAGTTACCGCTCACCTCAACACAAACTACAAAATAATTAAGCTAAATTTCCTAAGTGATCAGCAATGCTAAAATTTATTAGTTGTAATATATTTATTATTAATGACTATAACAAAAAGCCATCATCCCCTTCACAGGAGGTAACTTTGATTCCAAACAACTTGGCTCTTTTGGAACCAACACAAGACTGGATCATTTGTCTTTTTCCTTCAGTATTCATTTCCTTGACTCATTATTTGCAATCATTATGATAACTTGGATCTTCCTTGATGTTCCGTAGGAGATCATCTACGATGTTTATATGTCCCATTGTCCCAAAGACCACCAAACTGCCCTGAACATTGCAAAGTTTTTACGAACTGAGAGAAAAATCAAAGTGTTTCATGATTTCCAAGAGCTTAATGATGATGATTCTTGGCAAGAGGAGATATTTAACATCATGGGCAAGTGTGCTCGTGTCATTGCTCTGTTAAGTCCAGGTTACTTGGAGACAGAGAGTTGTATAGAACAATACAACATGGCCTTGTGTATAAACAGACGATCACAAGAAACAGTTCTGGCTCCGTTTTACATCACCTCAATGGACTATATGCCAACATATATGAGTCTTATACAGTATGAAGACTGTAGGTATGTTACCGATTACTGTTTGTAGTAGGAGTACATAAGCACAGACTTAAAATATCATCCTCATTTAATTTACAACTTTTCTATGTATGCAATCATGCTGAAAAATGCACACTTAAACAGTACTTAAGTTTGCTCTCTTGTCTTTGCACTTTTATTTTAGGCAAAAGGACACAGAAAAGATCAAAGCAGCCAGTCATCATGTGGCAAATTCGTTGAAGAGGCCGCAAGAAGATGTTCTAACTGGTGTGATGGAGACAAAGACCATTGAAACCTTAAATTATGATGTGTTCATTTCATACTCACATCAGAACAAAGCTCACGCAGAGAAGGTGCTACAAACCCTTACGTCTCTTGATCCAGAGTTAAAGATCTTTATTGATACATCTGGTCTGAATACTGGAACATCTTGGCAGCAAAAGCTGTACAACTCACTGGGTAAGAAAGCAACTTTTAATTGAATTTGTAAATAGAATAATTAAGAGACACTGAAATCGAAGAGGCCGTCAACGAAAAGCTGCTTGGTGTGAAGATAGACAAGCATCTTAATTGGAATAGCCATATAGATTACATGATCACTATAGGGTCTCACTTCCCTTTGTAAATTTAAAAATCAACTATACAAGAAATATATAGATTGGAACTCCAGAGTTGATAATTTTACTATAAGCAGAAATTTTTTAATTAATTCTTAATTTTTAACTGTATTTTTACTTCGTATTTTTGCTATTTGAATTTGAAGTTTTAGTGGACCACAAGGAGAACTACGGGTTCTACCAGTAATTGTGTTATCCAATAAAGTCATTATTATTATTATTATTATTATTATTATTATTATTATTATTATTAAGAGAGATAGAAAGTTTTGAGAAAGATGTTTTTCGTCTTGTCTCGAGCGTGGGACCAAGAAAAAATTCTGAGTTCCCTTTTGAAATCGAACCTCAGACCTTCGGATTCCGCACTCTGATGCTCTACCACTGAACCACAGAGACTCCACGTGAGCGCGGTAAGAGCGCAAATATGACGCTATCGACATTTCTGCTCTTAGCAATATGCAGAACGTGTGTCATATGAACTTCGTAATAGACCTTGCTCGCCGTAGAGTCTCTGTGCTTAGTGGTAAAGCATCGGAGCGAGGTGACTATAGCGAGATATGAGGCAATCCTCGACCAATCAGAGCGCGCGCATCACTTTAATTACCTAAGTTGATATACGAACTTGAGATACATCTTCAACGTTGTAGTAATACTCGACCGTTACCTTAGTTCTACTTGAACACTTTTTCTCTCTCTTTTATTCCTAGATGCGTCCAGAAGTACCATTGCCCTGTTGTCGCCTGACTACATCAAATCTAGAGTCTGTTATGAGGAATTCTGCCTTTCACACGCTTTGTTTATGGATAAAGATAGTATGATGGATCTGGTGAGTGTGTTGGTGGAACCCGTGGAGAAACTTCCTTTGTGGTGTGAACAGCCCCTCCCTGTAGACTGTACCCCTCCGGAAGTGGACGCGGACCAAGTTCTCTCTTCGGTGTGTACTGACTTGGTCAACAGACTGAAAGGTGAGTGAATTTACAATTGCCGTCGAAATTTTTTTGAACTGTAGCAGAAAATATACGCTTCATGGAAGAGAAAGTCTTCCATTTTGCTACTGTTTCAGTAGCTTGTGTAGAGGGTGCCAGATCTACACCGCCCCAAGCAAGGATTGACTCATAATGAGTATTGGTCTCTTCTCTCCCTTTCGTGTACGTTTTTCTTGCCTTCTTCCGAGCGCCCGGTATGTAGACCATCGCTCGAGGTTAAAGGACCTCTATGCTTAAGCTTTTCCTCGTTAGCGTCGAAGTAACTAATAATTAGGTCTATCTATTAACTTACTTTCTACCTTTTCCAGTAATTTTATGTTCATTGTCATGATTAACCCTGTACTCGAGCCAATGGGCCCATTCACCCCAAGCTTATTTCGGTTTTCATGGCATGAAGTGACTAGAGTATTACTGTTGCCCCTTGCCCCCTCCCCCCCCCCCCCCCATGGGATGCCAGTCCCTCTCAAGGTTCCCCCAGCATTATTTCATCAGGCTTCCCTGACAACTTGCAAGTACTCATTTAAACTCCCGAGTAGAGAGAGGCACTGTGAGAGTGACGTGTTTTGCCCAAGTACACAACACAATGACCCGGCCAGGTGTGCAACCCAGACCTCTCGACCAGGAGTCCAGCGCACTGAGCATTAGGTCACTAAACATCTGTGGGTTTGGTGTTTGTAAACAGAGTTTTAGCTTATATTTCCTGTTTTCCATTTCGCAAACCTTGTTTCCATGTAGCTTGGTAACCGCTTTATTTTCATAGGTGCCAATAACGCCCAACTGGTGCAAGACCTGAAAAAAGGAAGTCTCACGCTGGAATCGTCCATGGAGCACCACAGGAAATCAGTGTTTGTGCTTCGTTCAGGTGTTCTTAGTAAGCCTGTAAATCTCACGGCCTCCAACGACGAGGATTCCTTAAGGGCGAATCATACCAGTGATGCAGCCACGTCTGCCGATGGACAGCAGACTGGTGTAGATCCGTCAACGCACAACACGTCAACAGAAGTGACATCATCAAGTTCTACATCATCACAATTGAAATCTTCGAGTTCAGCTACTTGTGATGTGGCACTGAGTTTCGCACCAGGAGATTCAAAATCAGCGATGGTATTGAAGCAGTTACTTCTCGAGAAAATTCCCTCGTTAAAAATCAGTGAACCTAAAGCAGAAGACTTCTCAAGAGTGCAGTCTTTGGACGTGGCCCGCGTGATTGTGCCGCTCTTGTCGTCGGCTTTCTTGACATCGAACGAACTTGTTCAAGAACTTAATATTGCCATTTGTCGAAACCGTGGTTCCTCGCGACGAGTGCTGTTCCCTGTCCCGGTAGGTGTAGTTCCTCCAAAGCCCTCTTACGTCCATCTCATCCCAAGTGAATTTTCATGCAACGATTACAGATGGGCGTGCAAAGTTTTAGATCAGGCCTTGCAAAATGAGGTCCATAGGCTGGCACACGGAAACGACATAGATGTAGATCTCGCGTTTTGTCTAAGGTGCGCCGCCTTTTCAATTTCTGAGAGGCTCTTAGGAGAAGAGAGCAAGGACTTGGATCTTGATAATCGAGTTTTATTGAATGTTCACGAGGTGGAAGAAAAATGGAGGCGGGTACAGATGGCACTTCAACAAGAGGACGGTGTAGCAGTGTCGTGGAAAGCAGCTTTTGGAATTAAGATAGAGACCAATATGGACGATTTAAAACCAGCCGGAAATACTGAAGAACTTGAAGTGAAGCCAGAAGTTAACACTGAAGATACCATGGCTGAAGAAATTGAATCAAATGGAGTAGAACTTCATCGAAATGACATCAGCAACGAAAGTGAAAATACTTGTGATCAGCCTGGCCCTAGTGAACGCGGAGTGGAGGCTGGAAGCAACGAGCCAGTGTCTCCAAAAGAGCACAAGACTGTCCATTTTAATGTGGATGGAGGTGAAGTGGACGGTTCAAATAGCTCCACACAAGCAGAATCCAAAGCTTGTTTACTTATCTAAACAGCGGTACTATTCCTTCTAGGAAGCACCTGTCGTGCCAGTATACTTAATATATGACACTGTATTAATTCAATCGAGCGTTCTGCGCGCCTGTTACACGTTAGGGCCTTGCGAGTGGGCGCTTATTCGAAGTTGGCGTTTTTTTCGAGTTTGTGCGCTTATTCACACTTCACCATTTTCAGCAAGTAGTAAGTTTATTTTGTTACCAAAAGATGAATGGTGACTTAACGTGAAGAAGTCTCACAAACAGGGAATTTAGAGCTCGTACGCCAGTAAAGAAGTAATAATATACAATCCTCTTCTGCACTTAATTTTGTTTCCTATTCGTGTCATTCCCTATTCGTGTCGTGCCGTTACATTACGTTACATTACATTACGTTACGTTTCCCTAAGGATTACCCAGTTTACACCTCAGGGCCTTCAATGAGGAACATCTAGAGCCCAAATAACCTGTCTATAAACTTGACTTTATAACAAATACTTGAAAAGTTATGTAAGACTAGTGCGTTGATCAATTCGAAGCTTCAACACCAATCCCTTGGGCATTTGAACTTTTGTGTTGAGATGTCCCACCCACCCAAGGGCCAGATTTGAACGTCATTTCTTTTGTAAAAGGCAAGATTAGCGACCGCGACTTTCATGTATGCCCTTTCTTCTGAGCCATCTGATCGCTAGAGTGAAAAATTTTACCTTTTAACACTTCACAGTAGAGATAAACACGTTTATCCGCGGGAAAGATTTGGAAGTTCAGATTCAAAATCCCCACCGAGGCAAGGTTGGAATTTTTAAATGAAGCGAGCACCTATCAGATGAAAAGTTTGTACATTTTAAACAACTGGTCTTTGGCTAATGTGCTGACTTTGGCGTTGCAGCACAAACGTTTGACACAAGCGAGCAGACGAGACGTCTACAAGGGATCTGGCATTCATTAGTGCTCAATTCCAGACGGTGGCTTGAGCGCCTTAAGGCCTTAAACTTATTCGCAGACAAAGAAGCGCCCTTACTGAATCTAGCACCAATAACGAGAGGCTCCGCGCAGGTTAAAATACAACTAAATCTCGATGCCCTGTTGCTAAAAAGAAGCTTATTATCATTCCTTTTACCTTCAAAGGGAATTACTTATTTACAATAGCAGTTTAATACAAAAGAAGAACGAATAAAGTAGAAACGCAAGTGCTCTCAAAAATGTGCACTTGATCCTTGATTACTTACGAAATAGGCCAAAACTTCTGAATGATCAAATCATGCTTACGAAGGAAGTGCAAAGTATTGTTCGAATATTCATCTCAAAACTGTTTAACATTTCAAAGTTAATCAGGCATTCATGCTATTTACATCCGGCCTTTTAGTGTGATCCAATTAGCCAATCATGTTTGCGAGGTCATTTCAGTCAGAAGGTGAATTCAAACGACTATCAACTGCCTTTTATCACCTCACTTAAAAGTCAGAAAAAATGTGTTGATAAAGGTTAACGCCACCGGCTTAAGACATGCAACAACTGTTTGAGAGAGCAACTCTCACTGGAGTCCAAAGTCTTTTTGTGTAAACTTTGGGAGCCTGGACAGCAGATCTTTTGTAGGTGTGGCCTATAGAGAACAATTGCGAACCAATTAAAACACATGTTTATGTACTAATCTAGTATGCAGCGTAGGAAGTTATGTCATCGCTCGTGAATCAAAGTTTCGGCCTTTTTCATTCAAAAGGCCAGCAGTACTATTCAACTTTGAACTCATCGAAGGTATCATGGAAGCTGAGGAAGAAATGAAGAAAGGGAACTTCCGCAAAGCTCACGAATTGTTCGACGACTTGCTCAGGAAAGACAAAAGCAAAGTTCATTACCTGCTGGGGAAGGCTGATTGTTTTGTTCTAGAAGGACGTTTGATGGATTCGTTGCCCATCTACAGCGAGGCTTTCAAAAGCGGAAAAGTTCAGCCCAATCGTCTGCTTCAGTTCGTCGACGCTTTGACACTTATCATAAAAAGCAAACTGGACAAATATGAGGCAAACGACGATTATGACACGATTTTGCAATGCACGATTTGTACGGGTATTTTGTGCGATCCTGTTACTCTTCCCTGTGGAGATTCGTTCTGTAAACTGTGCTTGGAGAAACAAGAGGCGAAGAAATGCGAACATTGTGAAAGTTCGTTTGCAAACATGTCTTTAAAGGCAAATGTTATCTTGCAAGACATCCTTGAGAAGTCGTTCGAAAAGGAATTGGGAGCAACTCGGTTGCGTCTAGAGGGGAACAATTTGCACAGAAAAAGGCAAAGCCTTGCTGCGATCGAGAAATACCTCGAGGCAGAGAAACTAAGTAAGTATTCAAGTATCTCTCTCTATAATTTTAAATTGGATTTCTTCAACCTGTAGAATCGAGCTCGTGTTGCCGCGAACAGCTACCATATGACAACAAGAATGTCGAGCAAATGAATTACGTAACGATAATAATAGCGCGAAGTAAAAATATCAGTTGTCGATAATTTCCCTCATCCTGAAAATTTCATTAATAGCCATTTTATAGCTGTTGTGATATGAAATGTGATCGTCTACCCTTGAAATGGCGTTAAGACACAACGTGCTAATTTTAGAGTTTCAATTGAGTGGTACATTTTTACTGCAACATTTTAAAGTTCCTCTTTCAAAAAATGAAACCATCCATATCGTCGCCGATAAAAGCCATTTGAAAGAAAAACTGGATTGATGAGTTCGATCCCGACGTCAACTGTTTCTCCAAAAAAAAAAATGTTATTTTGCCATTCGAGAACAAGAAACGAAACTACAACTGTTACGTTACTGAATGTTAATTGTATTAAGATGCGTTTTGCATAATCTTCGTTTTTTGTCCGTGGAATTGAGAAAGGAAAGAAGCCATTTTGAAAAGGATGTCTTCATCATGCAATCGTTGAACAATTCCCTCTTTCTATGAAAACAGACTGTTTTCTAGATTTGCACTGTGATCTGCATACATAATTTGTATTGTTCTTGTTTGCTTTCCCTTCAATATATTTTTTAAATCCTATCATCGATTGGTATGGATATTCTCCTCGATATTTCCAACACTTTTCTCACGGTGCTCACAGGGATAGCATGTTTGACAACGAAACAATCTTTGGTTGGCCTTCATTTCCTCTGTTTTAATAGCATTAATGTTTGGCTAAGCCGTAATACTGCAAGAAGAAATTAGCTGTTGTTCACTTCTAGGGGCTAAAGGGCTAACTTTACATATTTGCTTAGCTGTTGAATACCACAGAAACTTTGATGACTGTTTGTAAGATGAGCCACTTGGTAAGGATGGGCCGATACAGTTTTTTGAAATCAATACGACCTCAAGTAGATACTGATGTTTTTTCTTCGATATCGAAATCCATAGTGATACTGTGATGTCATTGAGTTAAATGGTAAGTCAAGTGATTTGATTGAAGAAATTAAGGGTTATCTTGCACTGTTCAAGTTGTGCAGTGTTTAGAACTCTACAAAATCATCAATGAGATAGTAAAAAATTAAAAGCACATTATGGAGGTAATAAAGTCGAAACTCCTTGTCATCAATGAGTTCACTCTTGCAGCGCTCACATGCCGCTACTTAGACTTGAACACTGCGGTGCTCATTTCCTGATCTCGAGGCCAGAGTTTTTTGGCGCTCTGTTAGGGGTTGGACACTGGCGCAAGACAAAGGGCAGACAGGTCACTTGCAGAATTGAAAACACCAATACTTTTCGTTAGTATTGATGTTTTTCCAATCAGACCTCTGTATCATTGGTACTGAATATTTGTTGTCAGTATAGGTCCATCCTTACCAATATCCTATTATGATCAGACTTGATGACATGCCTATTTTGAATTAATTCTTATTACAGACAAGTCTGACCACTTGATTCAGAGTAACCTTGCCTGTATTCTTATCTCACTGGGTCGTTTTGAGGAGGGTTTTCTCAGAGCCAACAAGACTTGTCAACTTCAGCCAACATGGCCAAAGGCAAGTGCTGTATTAACCTTGAGATGCGCTCATTCTCTAACTCTTAGGGATCAAAGGTTTATAACTGTTACAACCACTAGAGCAACTTGTCATGAAGACTTCCAGGTTCAAACCATGAACTGTTGTGGTGTTGCAACTTTTTTTGCTTTTTCAGCGGATATCTGGCTTTATGATTGTTGAATTGGAGAAATTTGATGAAAAATAATAGATGAAAGAGGAGAGAACTTCTTGTGTCCTGCAAACAATCTCATGTTCATTTTGGCAGTGAGCAGAAGGCAAAGGGAGGCCTTAGTTAATTAATGCAATTCTAAAAAGCTGTATCTCTTTCCATTTTTTTTTTTTTTTTTTTTTTCAACTTGTAGGGGTACTACAGGAAAGGCTGTGCTCTGCTTGGCCTCAATAAAAAGGCTGAAGCAGTCGTGGCTTTTATGCACTGCCTTGCAAGGGACCCAGAAAAACCAGCTGTTAGAAAATCAATAGCAAAGGTGCGGCAGAAGGAACTTGAGCAATAATGTGGTTAACTTAGCTGTGGATTAAAATGTTAAATCTGTGAAATTGTTATATGTTATTGATCCTTTTCCATATTCATCATTGGAGAGAATTCTAAAATACAAACATCAAACTGGTTTGAACATTTTAAACTTAATACTAGTTTAAATCGTGGCATCTGATGGGCATATCTTGCCTCAATTCTAAGGAGTGCCTACTTTGATCCTTCAGAAAATAAAAATGCTTGCAGTTAGTTTACATTTTGTTATTTCTATGAGACTTATGCCCAAATCTATTCTTTCCTAACGACCAACTTCTGGCAGCAATAAGCATAATTTCATTCATCAAAGAAAATTACCTCACTAGCCACATTTTGCATTCATTTTACAGCTTCTACATGAGATGATTACAGAAGGAATTTCTTGCTCCAGCCGAGGCCAAAAGCGGGCTAGAACTGCAAACAGTGACAGTACCTCCACAGATGAAGACAACAACAACATTATTCTTCACAGATTTACAAGCCTTGTGGAACTAGTAGAACAAAGTAAAGAAGAAAATGGCACTGGTAAGTGACTGCATGATATAGATCATCAGGAAGTGGTGATGTTGAGTGTTTGTGTTAGAAAAATTTTCAATTGAATGTGGAGAGTTAAATACAGGATTGTTTTGGTTTGGCCTTTGCTATGTGATTGGTGTAGAAAACTCATTGTGCCATTTTCTCAACAAATCAGACTCAAAACTAAAATCATTGGCAACTTGGACACTTGTATCTTCCTGTGCATTGGGCAATTTGCTTTTTTTGTGTTGAGTTTTTCACTAAAAACCTGCTTGTAATATTTTCCTTCATCTTTTCTTTCTGATCAGCTAGTGTGCAGGTTTTATTATTAACCCTTTACACACGGACATCAGTATGCATATTCTCCATACTGTTCTCTATACATTTCCAAAGGTGCTGACAAGGAGAATTAGCTTAACAATCCAGAGCTTCTGTAGTTGCAGATCATTTCCATTATTCTCATGAACCTAGTGAGTGATTCATGGGTGATATTGTAAGGAGAAATTAGATTCTAGTCACTCTTAGGGGTTAAAGGGTTGACAGTATCCTCTCTTCAAATAACTGAAGCCAGAAGCTTAAAGCTATCAAAACTGTCTGTTAATATTATTTAGAGGTAAACCAGTCTAGCTTACTAGGTATTTTTCCTCATTTGTATTCTGAAATCATTCTGTTTTTTTTCCAGATGAAATGGAAGGTGAGCCTGACCTGAAAAAGTTACGACTTGACAAGCGATGTTGCGTAGAAGATGTGGAATGTACACTATGCTGCAGGTATAATCTTTTCTAATTTGCACAATCTTTGCTCCAAATTGAATTGTTGTTAAAGGAATTAAAGTGTGTAATACTTAGAATTATTATAGTTTAGTTTTAGAATCACCAGTAATATATAAAACTTACTTGATTGCATGACGTACAGATAATGCAACTGGGTACCAATATCAATTAGGCTTCATAGCCACATGTTGAGAGCAAAGAGAATTCTTTGGTCAGGCCTCACTTTCTCCAAATGCTTTTAATTAGGCACTAATAAGTGACAATCAATTCATCAAGCTTCAGGGTTGAATAATATGATTTTTCACAACAAAATCTTCTTTTACTTTTTTGTTTAGGTTGCTCTATGAACCTGTAACCACACCCTGTGGCCATGCATTTTGTCGTTCCTGCCTCAATTGCAATCTTGATCACAGACCAACCTGTCCAATTTGCAGATTTTCCTTGAGAAAGGTGTAGCAAGTGTTGTCCATAATCTTTCCTTGGCTATTGTTCCAAGAGCATATGATGTAAACCTTACATTTTTTTGCTTTGTAATAGCAGTTGATTTTTATATAATGAAGGTATCAATAAACTTATTATACCACTGCGGCTCACGACTATGGGGTGAAAATATTTTATTAATTTAGTTTTATTGTATTTTAATTGTATCCTAATTATTTGTTTTATCTTTCTTTTGATATTTCAGTTTCTTGCTGAGAGAAATCAGGTGAGAACTGCTCACAGATTAGATAATTTGAATGTCAGTCATATTTTAAAGAATGCATTAAAAGGAGGTGAAAGATTTAAATGGCATTGCTTAACTATACATAAGAGATCATACTTGTGACACTTGCTAAGGCCAACATGTCTCAACAGACTGTTACAGTTGCCATAAGCAGGCTTGTAGAAACTGCTTTACCAGAGGAGTTTGCAGAAAGGAAGAAACTACACGAAGAAGAAATGGAAAAGTTAGCCAGGTGAAGTTTGTACCAAATTTTTTTAAATAATTTTTTGTCATTCGTGATAGTTACCAGACACAAAACCTTTTGTTACTTTGTAGATCAAATTATCTATTGATTTTTAGTTAGATTTCGTTTTCAAGAAAACTCACAAGATTGCAATTATTACTAATTACATAGTTATTTTTATTGTATTTCCAACAGTGTGGCAAGTGACACTACAGAAGATGTGCCTATTTTTGTATGCACCCTAGCCTTTCCATCCCAGCCGTGCCCTTTGCATATCTTTGAGCCTCGGTATCGTCTGATGGTTAGGCAATGCATGGAATCAGGGTCACAGCAGTTTGGCATGTGTCTGCATGATGAAGAGAAAGGGTAAGACCAAACCCTGGATAACTGTTAGCTTAATATTAACATTGCTGTTAGAGAGATTGAAAGAAGATCATTTAACAACAGATGCAAAGTTGTAGATCAAGAAAGGCTCAATTTTTTTGGTTCAATTAATTTACTCCTAAATGCTATCTTCAGCCCTCTTGAGACTTTTCTACACCAAAATTATAGAAATAAAAGGGTGAACTATGAAGAGGTTTAGAGACTTGCATTTCCTTGCATCATTTTCACTTAATATAAATCTTAATGATGTTGGAGTTTTAAGATTCATTCCCATTCCTCTTTCTAAGAGCTGGAAAGCAGAGTTGCCAGTGAAGAAAAGCAATTGAATGTGGGCAGCAGTTTTGCTGATACACAACAAGTTTTAACCACTCTGATTGAAGGAATGCAGCTGTGTTTCATCCCAATCTCTTTTTGCGTCAGAACAGAACTTCTGCCTGTTTTTATAGAAAGCCACATTTACAGGCTGATAGGATTATCTCCTAAGCAAATCCACCAGCTTATATTCCTCTTGAGTGTCCAGGACATTATTTCTCCTAACAATATCAATAGAATATCAAGCAGAAAAGTGATGAGAATATAGAAAAATATAAATTAGGGGATTATTAGTTGATCCAATGTCAAATTCTCTGAACTAACATCATAAGAGTTGTATGGAAAACAGTAAGGGAATTACTAATTCTTTCTAAATCCTTAGAGCAAAAAAGTTTAGAGGCTCCTGAAGAAAGAGGAGAGTAATTATTGGTCCAATTTTAGGGGCGCAATGTTCCTAAATTTCGTTCCCAATCTAAGCTCTTGTCTTCAATGGAAGCATTACTGATTGTTTTAATTATTGTTGGTTTTCTTTGTAGTTTTGCTGATTATGGTGTGATGCTTGAGATAAGAGACTTGCAATACCTTCCAGATGGAAGATCTTTTGTTGACTGTGTTGGTGGAAGACGTTTTAAAGTAATTGTTTCATCTCTTTCTCCTTGTACACATAAATATGCATTATGACATGGTGGTTGTTATTTAATTAGTAGTTTAACATGTCAACTTCAAGTTAAAATAATTTTAATCAAGATTGATTTGTCACTCTCAAGTTGCCATGGTCATAGTGTACTTAAAGATAATTTCTACCTTTGAACAACACCTATATATGGAGAAATTCCTCATTAGTTACATTGATCATCTCAAACTCAAATAGGACTTGTATTAACTTGTATTAAATTGTATTAAATTCAATGAATTGGAAAATGAATTTGAACTTTCTTTTATTTGCTTATGTAGGTTCTTAAAAGAGGAATGCAAAATGGATACCACACTGCTAAAGTAGAATGGATCAAGGATGAAACGATTCCAGAGGAAGAACTTGGTAACTATATAGGCAACCCTTTAAAACTGCAGAAATGGTCAACTTGTAATTTCTCCTCTCACTGCCAGAACATCTTTTGAGAAGCAGGTCATGAGAAAGGAAAACTGCATCAGCTTAAAGATACCCTCCCAATGTTATGCCTTTGTTTACTAACTATTTTACTGCCAAAACATTCTGTAACTGAAAAAGAGAATTACTATTCATATCTGGGAAGTTAAAAATGGACAGGATTAATTTATCTGTCATGCATGTATATGTCACTTAAAAGTAAGAGAACTGTGCTACTATATTCATTGTACAGTGTTTTTATGAATGGCAAGGATTTAAATCTTCCAGTTACCCCTATGACATATTAACTTCACACTCTAGAAATAAATCTTGGATGTTATAATTAACCCTTTGTATATCTTATTATCTTCAGAACATGTAAATACTCTTCATCGACAAGTTTACGATGAAACAAAATCTTGGTTTAATAATCTACCACTCCTTCCAAGGGTAAGACATAAATTAAAGAATTTTCCTCATTTGTAGAGCTGTACCTCAAGATCTCTGTACGGTAAAATACTGATGTACCAAAAAGAAAAAAAAGGAAATAAATGAACAATGAGAATGATGAAAATTTTGATACAAAATTAAATGATTATGGCAATTGTTACTATTATTATTATTATTGTTATTATTATTATTAATGATATCTAAAACCATTGATGTTACTCCCAATTAATCAAAAATGAAGAAATTGTATTTTGAAATAATGGGATTCAGTGACACTGTCAACAATTATGATGATTATATGATAGTTGTTACTATAAATATATGAAAGTTTATCAAAGACAGCTATTGTTTGTCTGTGGTATTAATAATCATGTTTTATTTTCAATTTGTCCCATTTAGAGAAGGATTATAAACATGTTTTCAGAAATGCCAAGCTGTGATGCAGAGCCTCAGAATCTACCTCAGGGACCTGTTTGGATTTGGTGGTTTCTTTCTGTTTGTCCACTGCCCCTTGATGAACAGCTAGAATTCATTTCCATGTCCTCATTGAAAAAACGCCTTGAAAAATTACAACAGATAATCTCCTCCATGCAAACATAGATGAAAGGAATTTAACCAATGATCCTATGAATTGATATTAGAATATGTTATGAGTATTTTTGTAAATAATACAGCTGTTCATTGTTGTCACAACAAAGGCACAAACTTACCAACTTGTACTGCAGCAAAGTTTGGACAGCTGAGACATAATTTAATTAATTTTAAACTCCTACTCCGGGTAAATTTTGAGGATGAGCATGTTTTAGTATTTTATTGTCTACATAGATCTAATTTTAGTTTGCTGATGAATGAAAAACATACTTAAAATTACGTTCCTCCAAATTTGTAATTAACATATCTTGACAATTTTATAGTTTATACAGCTACATCATCATAGCAGAATATCAGGTAAATTTGTCGCCACAAAGATGGCACAAATTTACCTACTTTTTACTGAAGAAAATCTTGCATGGCTTTATAAACTTAATTTAGTTAAACCTTTAACTCCTTGAAGTGATTGAGAGGTAACTTCTCCCCATAATATCCATACACTTTCTAGAAAAACAGGTAAGGAGAATACTTAAACTTATCACATAGAAGTTGTTTTTGCTTGATCTAACACCAAATTCCTTGAAACAATTTAGAAGGAAATGTCTAGCAGCTAGAGGGGATAATAGCAATCAGATCTTGGGAGTCAAAGGGTTAATTGTTAACAACTCTATAGGGTAAATGTTTAGGTTAGCCGTGTTATATTATTTTACTGTCTGCATTGATATGAGTTTAGCTGATGAAGGAAGAACATACTCTAAATTGTATTTCTAGAAATTTGTAAATAACTTATTGTGACAGTTTTCAAATAGACAAGTACCTGCATGATCGCTGTGGAGTAGTTGGATTGCAAATGGATGACCCTTACTTTTTCATGGTGAATTAATTTTACCAATTACACTGATCACTGTAATCTCTCATGATTAACCATGTAACACTGATTCTGAGGTCATTTTTGAAACTAACTTATTGTTCTCATTCAAATGTGCAGAAAAATCATCCCGTAAAAATTTCACAGCTTTTCTCCCCAGGAAACAGTTCTTTTTACCAATAGATCTTTTAATAGTAGGCATTATCCACCAGTACACCTGAAGGGAATTATTTAACTAGTTCTGTAGGGAACTCTTATTAAAATGCAACTGAAAATGGCCAAAAGTTTAATAGATCATACTTGTATCATAATGACATTCTTCAATCTCCAGATAATATAATGTTAATATTTTTTTTATTTCTAGTGTTTGTAGCAGAGACATCTGAGTGTAATGTAAGAATGTATTTAGTGCCAACTTAATCATAGTAAGAGTGATTTCACATTAGACTGCAAAACTTCCATCTTCCAAATGAGGCTGCCTGAAAACATTATTTGAGGGACATGAAATAAACTTTGACATTGGATGTATCTTTTCATCAAAATCTTTAGCCTTTAACATATTTGCCAGTCTGAAAAGTTCATTTATGGGACAAAAAAAAGAATCCATTCTTAATTAATGCAAATGGGCCTCAGCATGGAAGAATTAAACTAAGGATGGTCATGGTAATGATGCTGGTGAAGGCAATGAGTTGATGATAATAAGGTTGACAATGATAATGGTGATGATCATCATGGAGTCTGGTGCAGGTCAATTTTTACAGTTCAATGTCAGTATCTTAGCAATTACACACTTACCTCACCCCTAACCCAACAACAGTCAACTGATAACAAGTCGCAAAGGATGTTAAGGTAGCAGAGGGGTAGGAGTGCAGTTGCTCAGACAGTGACATTGATCCAACACTACACAGTATTACTTGTATTGTTTGTAATGATTAAGTTAAGGCTATGTGTACAGTAGTTTTTAATAAGTAATCCTTTGCATTGCATTGTGTTGTCAGTAAATCTTGATTATTAGAAGTGTAATAAAATCACTCACTGGAAGTGTTGTATTTCTTGACATGTGCATCTTTCAAGTTCATAACTTAACACAATTATCTTTTCTATCATTAGCCAGCCAACCTGGTTACTTCTTGGTCAACTTTTATTTTTCCATAAGTATAGTCTACATCAAGAAGGGTCTTTTTTTTAACTTTGAAACAATTTGAACTAAAATTTCTTATCACGATGACAACAAGTCTTAAATTATATTTCAAAAGGTTAGAAATATCTCATAAAAAATTAGATACCTTTCCTGATAACAGAAAGTAAATCATTATAAGAATATGGTCAATGATTATACACAAACTCCACAGAGCTGGAAGAGTAGACATTGGGTACACTTGCACTGAACATGACAATTAAAATTTCATTCTAATGCTTCGCTCTTATCAGAAATATTTCTAATTGGAAAACTGGGAGGCAAAAATACTTATGCCCTACTACTAAATAATTTTCCTATTTATCACATCTACTGAACATCAAGCACTTTACAATTTTCTGTTACATCTGTGGTGTTATGTCATTACCATGTGGAGTTGTGGTCTATGACTGATTGTTGGAGAGATGTCAAACAACACCGTAGAGAACACAAGAAAGCTTTTGACACAAGGAGAGTATATGCCACAGTATACCCACACTGTGTTATATTTAACTTTCTAGCTGTGTTCAAAACTAGCATGCACCTTTTTATTCCATCACTTTTTGCCTTATTTCTTAGAAAAACTATTTGGGTTTGTCTAAATTAAGATTGAAATGGTCTCTCAACACATGATTATTTCTAACTTTTGTACAACAAATTTTAGAGTAATCTGAAAAATACAAGAAGATACCATGATTCTCCAGCACAAAATTTTGCTATTGTCAACTAAAAAACAATAAGCACACTGCAAACCCTCCCTTGGAACAATGACAAGTAAACCATAACTAGTCAAATTCTGTGGTTGTTTCATGAGTCTTGCTGCTCTCCAGCCTGATTAACACAATAACACGCTACTAAGATAGTGCAGGCATTCAGTGTTACTTGATTTTGTCAGGAAGCAACTTGGCGAGAGGAAAGTTGAGCACAGACAAATGAAAAGTAATTGGAAGGCGAGTACACCTACTTTGGCACAATTGCACACTAGAAAGCAAATTTCTCAGCATCACAGACAAGATCTGTATCAAGCTTGGGAAAAGAACTCTCTACTTTCAGCCACTGTCCACATCTCACAAACATATTATCCTTTTGCTCTCTATTAAATCAAATACTGGCCACTAAACAACAAATTATAGCTTCCTAGCCTACCTATACTGTTAGAGGCTGAAAATTAATCTTGTATCTTCAAAATGCTCTTTTTCTCAATTTCCTCCATTTCTTTCAACACATATGCCACATTATAACGTAACTCATGAAATTTGGACAAGGACACCTGTAATAAAAGAAATTAAATCAGCATGATTTGAGACTGGGTGGTCTGTGGGCTGACAGTCAGCACAGTTGAACAAGATCAAGAACTCTGGGAGCTAAATTAGGACTGGGGTCATTAACAAGCCTATTCAAAAAAGACAACAGCCCATATAGTGTCTCTTGGCATAAAACTTCACTACAGCTACCAACTCATTGGCTTCCTTTTTCCTCCTTATTGGTAAAGAAGGACTTAACATGTTCACTGAAGGGTCAATGGACTCCATCAACTTTACGCAATCTTGCTAGACACTCCTCCTACGCCTCCCATCCCACAAAAAAATTAATTCAACACCTCTTTCATGATGTTGTTTTTATTCAATCTATGTTCTATAAGAGCAGTCTAATTTCTTGATAATCACAAAATAAAACATAAGTCAATCTTTTGAAAAAACAACAATAACAATTCACAAACAAGGCTCTTCGCAGCTACGAGTAAAAACAAATATTGGCATTTTTTGTTTAAGCAATGTTGCAATAAAATGAATGTGGGACCATGAAATAATTAACCACATACACCTGTACCTCAAATGTATGGACCTTTCCATCACTGAGCTTCAGCTCCATAAGCACTGTTGGTTCCAACACTCTGTTCAGGGCACTGAAAAATAATACCAGTAACACTGCATAAACCTTATAAAGAGGCTAGCTAGGGGAGGGGAGGAGGATGGGGGGTGGTTCTGATTACATTTTATAAACATTACATTTTAGACAAATTGGTTTTGGCCTTAATCACGCATCACATACAAACCTTCTGTCACCCATTATAAATACTATGAAGACTACATGCAGAAAAAATGGTTGCTGGTATGTAATGAGCCTCTCAACACAGTTGCAAAGAAACTCTGTCAAAAGTTGAGCATTGACTCACACAGATAAATTTTCACCATCTTCCCATCTCTCTATATCAGAAAGAGTGTGTAGAAACATAAAAATGTCCCAGCAGTTTTGCAACATATTTACTTCATGTTAGGAGAAGTTTAATTTTTCAAATAATAAATGATTTAAAATCAATTCATCAATTCATCCCCAGATGATAACCTGGACTTACCTCGTGGATATAGCAACATCGACTCGCCATCGCAGTGAATCTAAAGTTGGAAGGTGATTTCTGTTTTGAAGAGCAGCTGCATCAAATGCTGGTCTTCTACAAAATAAGATATTGATAAAAAAATATGCATCCATAATCTTTCATGATACAGTAACTTGGTATTTATTTGTTGCTACATCCCAGATCAGTCCATATGAAGCAAATTGGATGCAAGTGTTTTCTTTATATAAATAAGTATTTTTGGAACTATCACACTCTGAAAAAAAAACACATGCAAACAAATGAGAATATCAAATTGCACCACAGATTATTGGTAATTTCTCAACTGTAAATAAAGTATTTCTAGTGCTCTGATTGGTTCACATCAATTCTGGTAATCAGCTCATATTTAGAGTCACCTAATATCGAAATGTATTGCACCAACTGAAGCTGTAAAAAGCCTAAAAACCATTCACACATTAAGGATTCAATCAATGAAAACTAAAAAAACAATTATTCCTTTCACCCTGTAATACAAAATTGGATGTAAGATTGGTTACATTTACCACCTCATATCCAACAAGTGCTCATGGAATCATTGTGAAACATTTCTTTAATATCTCATTTATCCATACGTCTAAGATTTTATGGTTACCAGTCCACAAAAGCAAAGAGGCATTTGCCTAATAAACAGAGTAAAACTTCACAATATTTTATAAACACACTTACTTTTCTCCAAACACAATGCTTGAGAGATCAGGAATTAATTCAGTAGGAATCCTTTCAGACAAAACAATAAAACCAGTTTGGTACCATGAGAAGTCATTCAAGCATAAGGAAGGATTTGAAATTTTATAAATTCCAGGCCAACAGGTTGAATCAAGCACAGGTGGATGCATGGGTAGACATGTACACACATGAATTATTGTTAAAAATAAAAAGAGAGACTCACTGGCATGAACACTGCCTTTCTCCTAGAGAACTAAAAGAGAACTACAGAGTTCTGTATAACGGTGTTAACTGACACAATTCTCAAGGTAAGTGTAAAAACATGAAATCAAAATTAAGCAAAAACTGCTGAATGTTATGATAAGCTGCGCCTCCACTTTCTTCCTCTTAACAAAAACTAAAGTGTTGTTTTTCGCTTGGGCTGAATAGCCTTGCTTTATAAACTACATGTATATTTGTGCATCATGAATATTGTAGCTTTCCTACCCAAGAAATCCATGCTATAAACAACTTTCATTAGAGCTGGATGATGGCCCAAAGAAAAGTCATAAACACATTTTGGCCCATATCAAAATCTTTTTTTTACACCCTCATTACTAATTAGCCTATCCTTCTCCTAAATGACCCTAGAAATTAGTAAACTCTCCTCAAAGGGCCTATTAGAGCACTCTCCCCTCTTGCTGCTACACATTTCCTTGTAAATTAGTTACAAGAATTTTGATGTTAGATCAAGATAACAAATTTCTAACTGATACGTTTGAGTATTCTCATTACCTAACTGCAAGATAATGTATAGAAATCATACAGAGAAGTTACCTGATCATCACTTCCAGGAATTAGGGTTAAAGTTAATACTATTAGCACATTCAGTGATTAAAATTGCTTGTGATATATAAATCAAAGGTTTCAAGAGCTTACTTACTTCAGTTCTCCAAGGTCTGCCTTAAACTGTTCTGGTTTTAAAGATGTCTGGGGCAAACGCAGAGCACTGCGCAATAGTGAGTACAGCCCAGCATATAGAGAGGATATGACATCCTCTGTTACAGTTTCTGACTGAAGCTTCTGGAGCAGACCATCATCAGGAACTTTTCCCTCCAAAACTGAAATAATAACTGCCAAGAGCCGAAGACAAGAACTCAGGGACTCACAATGAATGTAACATTTGTATGCACTCTCCCTTCCCCTGCCCCTATGGTTAAGTGATGCCAATGTTATAGTATTCTTTCAAATGTTCTCAGTGCAACTCCTACTCAGCTTCACAGGAGATGAAGACCTATGGTTGTTTCTTTTATTCCTGTCTAGGATTGTAAGATAGTGATCCCTAATTGGGGATCATACGTAGGGTAGAGGAAACTTGTGAAAATTTAGTAAAGCCAGCTAATTTGAATTTCGGCTTAATTACAGTCAGATGACATCATATCTCTAATCTAGAGGAGAATAACTAAAAATCAATTCTGTGTTAATTGATCGTTATCGTTGACAAATATGACCGTAGTCAAGTGAAATACAACTGTGTGGTTCCAGAGTGCTACAAAGCATTATTACGCATTATTTATGGGTGAAAAACGTAGCTACAACGAAGAAACACATTTTTCTCATACTTAGTCAGCAAAAGCAAATCAATATAATAAGAAAGACCCTGAGATTTATGATGTAAGTTTCAAACGAGTCCTTGATATGACCTCCCCAGGCATAAAAATATATAGAGACTTGAATAGCCAAATGCTATAATGATAATTTAGGGGGATCCTCCGCCAACCTACCTTGTAAAATCTTTCTGAATAAGGCCTTATCTATCTTTGTTAGATGAGGTATCATTCGTTTGATTT